CAACGTGTCATTTCTCCTCAGATATTCCTCCTCAACACTCCTTACTGCAGTATTTCTCCTCACTTTTTTCTCTTCAGAGGCCTGTCTTCTCCTCAGAATCTGCTTCCCAACATGTCATTTCTCCTCAGGTATTTCTCCTCAACACACCTCACTACAGTATTTCTCCTCAGAGGCCAGTCTTCTCAGAATCTGCTTCCCAACGTGTCATTCCTCCTCAGATATTCCCCCCCAACACTCCTTACTGCAGTATTTCCCCTCACTTTTTTCTCCTCAGAGGCCTGTCTTCTCCTCAGAATCTGCTTCCCAGCGGGTCATATCTCCTCAGATATTTCTCCTCAACAAGAATTATTGCAGTATTTCTCCTCAGATTTTTCTCCTCCGAGGCCTGTCTTCTCCTCAGAATGTGCTTCCCAAGGTTTCATTTCTCCAAAGATATTTCTCCTCAACACATCTTTTGCAGTACTTCTCATTTTTTCTCCTCAGAGGCCTGTCTTCTCAGAATCTGCTTCCCAACGTGTCATTTCTCCTCAGATATATCTCCTCAACACTTCTTACTACATTATATCTTCTCAGTTTTTCCTCCTCAGAAGCCTGTCTTCTCCTCAGTATGTGCTTCCCAATGTGTCATTTCTCCTCAGGTACTTCTCCTCAACACTCCTTACTACAGTATTTTTCCTCAGAGGCCTGTCTTCTCCTCAGAATCTCCTTCCCAGCATGTCATTTCTCGTCAGATAGTCCTCTTCAACAATCCTTACTGCAGTATTTCTCTTCCGTGTTTTTTTTTTTTTTTTTCCACAGAAGCCTGTCTTCTCTTCAGTATGTGCTTCCCAATGTGTCATTTCTCCTCAGGTACTTCTCCTCAACACACCTCACTACAGTATTTCCCCTCACTTTTTTCTCCTCAGAGGCCTGTCTTCTCCTCAGAATCTGCTTGCCAAGGTGTCATTTCTCGTTAGATATTCCTCCTCAACAAGAATTACTGCAGTGTTTCTCCTCAGTTTTTTCTCCTCACAGGCCTGTCTTCTCCTCAGAATCTGCTTCCAAGGGTGTCATTTCTCCTCAGATATTTCTCCTCAACACCCCTTACTGCAGTATTTCTCCTCAGATTTTCTCCTCAGAGGCTTGTCTTCTCAGAATCTGCTTCCCAACATGTCATATCTCCTCAGATAATTCTCCTCAACACTCCTTTCTACAATATTTCTCCTCAGTTTTTTCTCCTCAGAGGCCTGTCTTCTCCTCAGAATCTATATCCCAGGGTGTCATTTCTTATCAGATATTCCTAGTTCATTGCCTTTGCAAGAAGAAATATAGAGCACAATAGAATGAAAATCCTGTATTCCAAGTCAACCGTCACAGATCAATATAAGTCTAGTGTCCTGCCAAACAGAACACGTTCATTTTCTGTCTCATCCTAGAAATGAAAACCTGATTATTTCATCAGAGGTTCCATCATTGACAGGAAAGATGGTGGTGTCAAAATTTATATAGATTCTTTTGTGTAGTTCAACAGTGGTTTTATTTCTGCGCAAACTTGTAAACCGTAAAGATTAGAAGTTTCATAAATGAAAAGGGTGCTAAGGCTCAAGGAAAAGGAAGGAAAAAAATAGGAATAGCAAGAGGCATTCCAGGAATGAAAGAATGCCAAGAATATTTAACTCCCATTTTTAAAAAGGGGGATTTCATTTTTGGCTAAAAAGGTCCCCTTGAAATGAATTTTGTCCACTGTCAATGAAAGGAAGCCACTGACACAGAGCAGACAGGTATTGCCATGTCTACCGTGACCTTTATTGTTTCTGACACGGTGACTTTCAAGGTAGCAACGATGGCAACAGGTGTTCTAGTCTCAACCCATCTGAGCAATGTTGAAATGGAATTGCACACAGGCCCCACAAAACGGACATCCTCACCCACATTTCCACCCCAGACGTGAGGACACTCGAGCCTTCCCCATTCATCTTACAATTTTTACATTGTCACCATCTTCGGAGGAAACGTGGGCTATTTACCTGTAGCTCACTTTGAATTTCCACACCGTCGTGATGCAGTGGGACCATCGGGTGGGTGTCGCCACCATGAGTCCCGTCCTGCACTGGCCAGGCTCCCGTAAGACTTGGAGTGAAGTCCCGGCCTGGGCCTGCGGGGTGGGGTGGGGGACAGTTAAGGGGGAAGTGGGGCCGGCAGGGGTGGGGGCAGGAACCTGGTCCTGCAGGACCCAGCAGGGCAGCACACTCTGTGCTTGCATCTGGGCAGAAGGGGAGCCCTGAGGGAGGGGAGAGTGAGCAGCATCTCCTGTGGGCGGCTGATGGCAGAGTGGGGGGCACTGGTCGGGAGGACCCAGCAGAGGGAGGGCTGGATGTGGAAAACTTCCAGGCGCTGGCAGGCGCTGGCAGGTTACGTTGTGGGCACGGAGGAGCACAGAGGTCCGGGTTCACTCCTGAGGAGCCCACTGGGTCAGAACCCGCACTGTGGAGGGGGGCCCAGGAGACCCACCGGAGCGTGAAGCTGTGCTCTGAGCGCTCTGAGTGGAGGACCCAATGGAACAAGGTAAAAATGCACCGCGCTCCACCCCGGAGCTCGCCCTGCAGCTGTGGCCACCACACCCGGGTCCCGCTGGAGCTGGTCGCTGCCTGGGACAGAAGCTGCATAGACTCTCTGAGCACCTTCACCCTCCCCGTGGCTGGAGGCCCCGCCCTGGGGGTGCGACAGCTGCACCCTCTCCTCACTGCCCACTAGGGATGAGCGCCCGCCTGGCAGCGTCATTCCAGGAGGCCCCTGACTGCTGCAAGAGAGGCGGGCAGGGCTGCCCCAGCACCTCCCCACAGCAGGCGCCAGGGCTGCGCCTCTGCCTGCACCGAGTAGGGGAGAGAGAGGAGCCGACAGGCCAGAGCCCAGAGACCACCCGCTCTGACAAAATGGAAGGTTCTAGGCTTATCAGGCAGGCCCGGGGGCGGGGAAGATAGTTTTTCCTCTAATACCTGAGCCTCCGTTTCCTTATCTGTACAAAGGAAAGTATCCCCTCGACTTGAGAGGCAGACACCACCCCTTCACCTGTTGTTGCTGAGCGCCCACTGTCTGCTGGACAAGGACACGGGCTGAGCTGAGCCCACAGCTTGGAGCACCCTCAGGAGCAATCGGGGGCACAGGGAACCTCAACAGACCCACAAGAATTGTGACAGCGAGCTTGAGACGCCACAGCCTTCCCTGGAAGGGACACCTGACACGCTCCTGGCCGAGGGGGCGACCAGCAGGGCTGCTGCGGAATGACCTTTGACACGGACTCGGTCAGGTGAATGGGGAAGCCGGAGAGAAGGAGGTTGTCAGAGAGGGGCCGCGGGCCTGAGACAGCAGGAGCAGATGGCAAGACTCTCGTCAGCTTGTCTGGAGGCTTGGACTCTAGCCTGAGCGCGGACAGTGGGAGCCACTGAAGAGATTTTTGAGGCTGTAGATAAATGACGTGACAGGCTGTCTTGTGAGGGCAGCGAGGACCGAGGGAAGGACTGCAGACAGCCCTCGGGAAACATCTGGGTCCTCCCTTTCCTCTCCCCAGGGAGGCAAAGATAGGAGGACGTGAACCAACCCGCCCAAGACAGCAGCGACGTGCCCTTGCTCGCCAGGTACAAATTCAGACCCAACACACCACACACCACACCACACACACACACACACACACACACACACACACACACACACCCCTCCCATACACTGCACCCCCCCGCCCCCGGCCCTTCCATAGAAAGTGTGTGGGGAAGGAACCCGAAATCTTCCCTGGTTTTCAGGCTCTGCCACCAGCTGCTGGTCCATGACTGTTGGGTAAAACAGCATTTACTATAGTATTATGATTCAATAGTACGTTAAGAGTTGGGGCCTTCCTGGTGGCACAGGGGTTAAAGCCTCGTGCTGTCAAATTGTCACCGGCCACTGCAGCCTGAGTGCGATCCCCGGCCAGGGAGCTGACTCACACGGCCTCTCCTGTCTCCCCGCTGCCCCCTCAGCAGTGTGTTTCAGTGGATCCACCTGTTCTGCTCCCCACCCTGTCTCTGGGGGGATCCTCTCACCCCCCATCTCTGGGCTGCACCCAAGTTCTTGTATCCATAAATAAATAAGCTCTAAAAACATAAAGTCATCTATAAAATCACTGAACTTTCTGGTCTCCTTTTGGCTCCTTACTGTAAGGCAACCGGAACTGAACGTCCGTCCTCTCACCTGAAAGAAAACCACAGGACATGTTTGTGGAAATTCTCTCCCAGCCCTTCCAGTGTCTTCCAGCACGACTGTCAGGCTGACCAGGAGGGACGGGGACAGGCCTCGCGGAGACTCAGTCTCAGGGAGGACCTGACCACGCCTGATTCCCGCAGGCCAGAGACCCGCTCAGGAGCCTTCAGGCTGGGGGGTCCCTGCTGGCTCTCCAGGCCCACATGCCCCCGCTGGTGATGGACTCTCCCCACTGAGGCCCAGACACTGGAGAAAGGTCTCCTGGTGTGGTGTGGTGGGTTATGTTTTCTGATTTTCCTGATCAAATGAACTAGGGGTTTATCTTCTCAAAGTCTGTTGAAAGCCTACTTGGTAAGATTAGAACTATGGCTGGGAATTAGGGTGTGACCTCAACGACAATACCGAGTCATCAAGCAGAAGAGAAGTGCCTGGAGGGCAGACTCACAATCCCTGATCTTCTACATTCTTCCCCTTTCCTTAATCTCAGTCCCCTTTCCTTTTGCTCCTGCCCCTTACAACCGATGCTGTGAGTCAATAAAAAGGCCAGGATCTTGTTCTTCAGCAGCATCCTGCATTATGTAGCCTGCTCCACGACTCCCGTTTCTTTATCAGTGTGGTGTTACCCAACACCAGTCCCTAGACAACTGCAAAATGCAAAAGCAAAGCTGCAATAGTCACAGGACCCCAGAAGAAAGCCCTGGCGCCCTGAGTCCCACGGTGGGCACTGGGCTGTTCTGGGTGCCCTGCAAGCATGGGGTGGGGGGGGTGGGGGGGATGCATGTGACCAGATTTGTTTTTATCCTGCTAATGTGTCCCTTTTTTAAATTGGGGGAAGGTGATCTCAGCCAAGAATCTGGAAAAGTAGAGGGAAAAATCTCTTTTGTACCCCATGCATGCAATTGAATACCATTCACAGTAGAAAGAAACGTGGCATCAAAGCCTGAAGACATGGGAGACGCATTAAGTGCAAGAATCCTGTCTCAAGAGGTCCGCTGACTATATAAACTCTGACCTAACTCTCTGACTCATGGCCCTCACCCCTTATCTCAACCCTAAACCTTGACACTAGGCCTTAGCCTCCAGCCTTCAGGCATGTGTCCGAGGTCCTCCTGTAGCTCAGCCTAGTCTATCAGGTTCCTGTGGCCAGTTACTGAGACAGTCCCTTGGGATGTTTCCATTTCCAGCATCTCAGATCACAGTCATTACAGCATTTGAACTAGATACAATCAAATTCTCATCATTGTTTACCTTGACTTCATGTTCCAAGGGGTGACTGACTTTTCAATTTATGATCCCAAACATATGCATGATTACATTATGAGTGTTTTTAATAGTTTTATTTTTCCAAGTGTCTCATATATTATCCTCACAAAATCTCCTGTATTCTTATAGTTGAGGACTAGGGAGTTAAGATTTCTTCCACATAATTAGCACCAAAAATACTGTAAAATATCTCCACCTGGGAATATCTAGTTTAACAACAGTGCTGTAATTTCATGAACAAAGAAGAATAATATCTAATACACAGTGTTGTATTCTAAACTAGGGGAATCCTCTAGGGGAACAAGGACTAGAATTTCAGGTGGAAAAGGGAGTTTGTCCAATAGCTTCCATGGGGCCAAGAATCTGCCATCCAAGAGGAAGAGAGATTGGGCCATTGGGTTCATTGAGAATATAAGCAACTGAATGTTGAAAGCATTTTTACGTAGGCCTCAAAAAAGCTGACATAAAAGTAATTGTGCTCTCTCACTCCACATGGATAAATCATCTGATCACGTAATTTGCCCTCATTAGTTACACACTAATCAGAGAAAGACCAACCCCACATGTGCCAGACACAGCATTCCCAGAAAGGCCTACACCCAGGACAAGCCCCCCTGCACCCAGAGACCAGGCTGTTCCAGGACTGGAAGAGGTCAGAAGAAGTTGAACCTAAACTCTTCATCAGGAGTGTCCTGGGTGGCCCTGGCTCCCCCTGCCAAGCGGAGCCTGCAGACCCTTCTGTTCTTCCTTCTGGTGGCCTCATCTACAGGCCCCACCCGGGCACAGTGGGCTGCTGTAGGGAAGTAAGTCACAGTCAGGGATGAGCTTAACTGTGCCCATGCAGCTGCAACAACTTGGCATTCAATGAAAATTCTAAGGTAGGAATGACCATTGCCCTCTATTTAAGGTGACAGAAAAGGGCACCAGTTGGCCACCCCGGCCTCCAAGGCCCAGACTTCACTGAGCCCTTCTGCGCTGCCAGCTCCACTGCTCTGAGCGGCTTCATTTACTGCCAAGGCCTCCTCCCTGCCCCTTGAGCCAGCTCCTCACCAGCCCTGAGAGCCCGCAGGGCCTCCTGCCGCTCGGCCTCCATGCGAGCCCTGTAATCCCCAAACCAGGAGCGCATCAGCTGCCTCTTCCGGGGAAGGGGAGTTTTTCCGCTGCACAGGGTTCGGATGGCCCCAAGAGCTTGCTCTTCTGCGGATGAAAACAGGTAACTAGTCGCCACCTCCACCCTCACCTCCTACCGCGCTTCCACGGAGGAGGCAACCCATCCCCTGGCGGCACATGCAGGCGAACACGGCCACCACTCCCCTCCCACCAACCCTACCCAGAGCCACTCACTCTGTTTCGGGCTGGGTCTCTGCATCTTGAGGCCCAGCTCCAGCTGCTCCACGCACCAGGTCAGTTCCCGGGCCAGCTGCTCCGCCTGCGATGGATTGGGGCGCGCAGGGTAAGGTGTGAGAGGGAACCCGGCCCCGTGCGCGACCACCCCGCAGGGCCCCCCCAACCCCCACATCCCGTGCCGCCGCCGCCTTAAACGCAAATCCTAGACCGCACCTCGCCCAGACTGCACCCGGGACCCCGCCCTCCGGCGGCGACCGCTCCTTGCCTGGGCCTCCGCGCTCGGGGGGGCTTCCTCTGGGACCGGCTTTTCCGGGGCCTTCCCGCCTCCAGCCGGCACCGGAGCCCCACGCCGGGATCCCTTCTTCTCTCGCATCTTGGAGGACGCGTCCCCCGCGCCGCCCGCGCAGAGCGCCCGGGGGCCGGCGGGGCAGGGACGCGCCGGACGGGGCCGCTCAGGGGCCGCCGGGGGCGGGGCGCGCGCGGCGCCTGGGGCCGCCGGTGTCTCCCGGGCCGGAGGTCCCAGGGCCTGGTGGAAGGGCGAGCAGCACGTGAGTCGCGGGGGTCCGCCCACCGCGCCCGGCCCCACCACCCCGCGTCTTCCCCGCGCCGCTCACCGCCATGCGCGCGGCCGCCGCCGGATGCTACGGAGGGCCGCGGGCCCAGCGCGAAACACGTCCCTCCGGAAACGCGGCTGGGCACAGCGTTCCGCCGGCGCGGGGGCGCGGGGGGCGGGGCCAGGGGCGGGGCGGCCTGCGGGGGCGGGGTGGGCGGGGCGATCTGCGAGGCGGGGCCCGGTGCGCGCGGCCGGTCCTGCTGGGCGGGGCGGGCCCGGTGGGCGGGGCGGGGCGGGGCGGGGCGGGGGGTGGGGGCGTGCACGCCGCGCCAGGACCCGGAAGGCGCCGTGGACTTTGTATCCTAACGGGGAAATGTGGCGGCGGAGGCGGCGTGTACGCCTCTGGGAAGCGCGAGCGCTCGGAGCCCAGTGTCCCGTCTCCATTCCGGACGGAAGGCCCCAGCTCCCCGAGTGCGCCCGCGGCCCCTGTCCTGGCCGAGGCCCCGCCCGACTCCGACCACGGAGTCGGCGGCCTCCAGCCGCCTAGCGCGGCGCCCCGGCCCGAACGGGGGGGGGCACAGGGCGGAAGTCGGGCGGGACTTCCGGGGCTCCAGGCCGAGCCGCGGGCTGGGGCGCCCTCCCGAGTGCCGTCCGCAGCCGGCGCGCGTCCCGCTAGCCCCGCGGTGGGTGCCGGGCCCGGCCGCCGCGGCCTGGACGCCTGGGGGCGGGGGCGGGGGCGGGGCCGGCGCGGGGGGGCGCGTCCCGACCGGCGGAGAGCGCGGGGCGGGCGTCACAGCTGGGCGACGGCGGGGGCCGGCCGAGAGGCTTTGTCAGGGCGGGTTCTCCGCCGGGGGAAGCGGCCCCGGCGAGGGGCTCGGCCCTTTGGGGCGCTGCCGCCGAGCCCTGGGGTGTCTGCTCAGCGCTGACCCGAGCGCGTGGGGGTGGCTGACAGCCCGACGCCTTGGGGCGCCTGTTCCTTGACCGGGGCCGGCGTGGCTCCCGCTGCGCACGCCTCAGTCGGCGCCCGTCCAAATCGGCCCAGGCGTCGAACTTTCGTGCGGTTCCATCGGCTCCACCAGGGTAGCCGGGGCCTTGACCCTGATCCCGCCACCGTCTCCTTGCTGGGGTGGAGCGCGCCCCCACCTGGAGGCGCCCGCCGGGACCCAGGGGAGGGGCGGTTGCCGACCACTGTCTGGCTGCTCGGCTAGATCCCACACGCACGGAGGTAAAAACAAGGTGTTAAATGAGCATGTTTTGGTACAATTTATCATAAAAAGGAAAAGAAATGCACACATTTGCTTGCCTAAGCCTAGAATAATCTGGACAGGAGAGTGTACTGGCCGGGAGGTGGTCACTGGGGCCTTTGCCGTTTGCATATGGAGCCTTGTGGCTGCCCCTACTCAGCGACAATAGTTTCAAGAATTTTTCACTAAAGGGAAATGAATAGATATGTAAATGATTGAGTCTCCCCTTGGGAGAGGGAGTGAAGCTTGTTCCCCCTAAGTTACCCCACGGAGTGATGCTTTCTTCAGGGCTTCCCTGCTTCAGCTCACACCCGGCCACCCCCTGAGCGCCCACGCCAGGACAGCCTTGAAATGCTTCATTAGTTTGTCCTAGGGGGAAAGTGGTCAGTGCCTCATCTTCATCCAGCAGCCAAGGCCTCTCATAGCCTGCTCCCTAGCGTCACTGCCTCTGAGCTCTGTCCAGGCATCCTCCCTGTCCTGCCCCTACCCTTTTTCACCTTCCCAAGGCCCTCTAACTGAGCCTGGTTTCAGTGCCCCTGGTCTCTGCCCCTTTCCTGCTGCCTCTGCCTAGAGTATTTGTCCACCTCACTGGTGCATTTCCTTTGACTCCTCAAAGGAAATATAATAATAATGGCCACACTGCCCCCATAACAGACCTTGACACAACCAAACAATGAAAATATGCATGCAAGCGGAGAATCCAGGATACAGGCTGGCAGGTAGTATCCATAAAGCACTCTGCCAACATTTACTGCATCATCTTTTCTGCCTCCTAACTGGCAGAGGGGCCAGGTGGCTGTCGGTTGTGCAATGTGAGTGAGGGGGCAGGAGATCAAGCCTTGCTCCTGGTGGGCATCGGGCAGGGCATGGTGCATTTGCAGATGGGCAGGGGGAGGGGCAGGGTCCAGGGAATAGTGTCCTGTTTCCTGTTCAGTGGGAGTAGTTAAGGCTAGAGATAGGCCCAAGTTTGGGAGTTTTCACAGACCCAGGGGTGTTGACGCTTCAGGACTGGACACATTAAGCAGAGGGTATATGGTGCAGTTACAGACATGAAGCCTGGGAACCAACATGGACCATGGGGTGGGGGGCTGATTGTACACGGGGGACAGCCCAAGAGTGTGGGCATGGGGACACCTACCAGCTGCTGCCAGGAGGCCACAACTTGGAACTGATCGTTGGGCTGTGGCCATGTGTATGTGGGCAGCGCAGGCTGTCCAAGCTTCTCAGTGGGTCTGGTGGTCCGCCTTGAGGGTACTGTGTCGGGAGGAGGCAGCGGGCACAGGCTCCATTAGCTGCTCCCCTGTCTTGGCAGATTGGGCCTGTTCAGGTTTTGGGGAATGGTGGGTGCTGTGTACGCAACCCCTCCTGCCCGTGGCCTTGGCTCGGGAGTCTGTACCCACAGCCAGTTGATCATCCTTTTGGGTCCAGGGTCAGGAAACATGGCATCAGCCGCTGACACCCAGCACCAGACCTTGTGGGAACAGATCCCCAGAGCTAGCCTCTCTGCACGCTCACCCATTTCCTTGCTGATCTCCAGGCCCGGCCATGCCCAGCCTCAGGGCTCGCCCCGAGGAAGTAGAGATGGAGCTCTCAGTGTCTGGACCATCCCCTTGGACACCCACGGCCCATGTCTGTGTGACCCGCCCTGGACCTGCATTCTGTGGACCTGTCTGCCATGATGATGCCAAGCGAGGAAACAGCCCCCCTCACCATCAACAGCCAGGTAATAGGAGCAGGCACCTCTGATGCTCTGGCTGTGGGGCACGGGGTCCGTGCAGCTGCCACACGCACCCTAGGAGGCGTCTGTGCCATTGTCAGGTCCAAAGCGGAGGTCCCAGAGGCTGCCTGGCCCCTGGCTGCCCTGGTGTTCTCGCCCGTCACAGGGCAGTGTGACTCTGTGGCCAGGTTCTGCCCTGGCAGGGCTTGGCCTTGCTGTCCGGTTACTCCCAGCCCTTTCAGAGCCCTACCTGAGTGTAAACAAAAAAACTAATAAATGTAAATACAACAGAGTAGAAAATAATGAAATAAAAATGTGATTCTTTAAAAAGATCAATAAAGTTGACAAATCTTTAAACTGACAAAATAGGTAAGAAACAAAAAGCAAAAATCAGAAATGAAAATGGGGACATTGCTGAAAGCTTTACAGAAGTAAAAAGGACCATAAAAGAATATTTTAAGTTATGCACTGTGAAATTAGTTAACCTAGGTGAAAAAAATGTCCTTTAAAAAATACAAATTGGGGGCCTCCCCTGGTGGCGCAAACAGTTGAGCACAGCACTGTGAAGCTGTCCGCAGCCTCTGCAGCTCCAGTTCGATCCCGGCTGGCTGGCGAGGGTCCCCCATGGTGCGGCAGACCTCTCCTGTCTTGCCCACTACTCCCCTCCGCAGTGTATTTCATAAGTCTTCCTGTTCCCCGCTCTGTCTCTGGTGAATCCTCTCACCCTCCTGCACATCTGGCCTGTACCCCGGTTCTTGTATAAATAAATAAATAGAATCTTTAAAAAAAAAAAAAATACAAATTGGGACTCCCTGGAGGCGCAAAGGGTTAAACACAGCACTGTGAAGCAATATGCAGCCTCTGTAGCACGAGTTCTATCCCCAGCCAGCTAGAGAGCAACGCACATGGCACAGCAGACCTCTCCTGACTCGCCCACTGCTCAATCTGCCTGTTCTGTTCCCCACTCTATCTCTGGTGAATCCTCTCACCACCACCCTGCACCTCTGGCCTGTACCCCAGCTCTTGTATGCATAAATAAATAAATCTTAAATAAATAAAAAACACAAATTGGGGGCCTCCCTGGTGGCACAAGGGGTTAAGATGCAACCTATGGACCTGTTCGCAGCCTCTGCAGCACAAGTTAGATTCCCAGCCAGGGAGATACCCACATGGCGCAGCAGACCTCTCCTGACTAGCCCGCTGCTTCCCTCAGCAGTGTATTTCAGTTAGTCTGCCTGTTCTGTTCCCCACCCTGTCTCTGGTGAGTCCTCTAACCTCCCACAAGAACTGTACCCCAGTTCTTGTATGCATAAATAAATAAATCTTAAAAAAAAAAATACAGATTGGGGGCCTCCCTAGTGGCACAAGGGGGTTAAGCACAGCACAATGAATCTGTCCGCAGCATCTGCAGCACAAGTTCGATCCCAGGCCAGGGAGCTGACCCACATGCACAGCAGACCTCTCCTGTTTCCCTGCTGCTCCCCTTAGCAGTGGATTTCAGTGGATCCACCTGTTGTGCTCCCCACTCTGTCTCTGGTGAATCCTCTCACCCCCACATCTCTGGCCTGCACCCCAGTTCCTGTATGCATAAATAAATAAAATTAAAAAAAAAATAAATGTGCTAAAAATAAATAAATAAATAAATAATACAAATTACCAAAAGGACTTGAGGATAGTCAGAAAACCTGAACACATCTATAGCAATTAAATTGAATCTGTAATAAATTGTCTAACCAAAAAGAAAAACAGTCCTGGATCAAATTACTGGTAATTCACTGGTAAATTCTACCAAACAGGTAAAGAAGAATTAATACCAATTTTCTCATACTGTCACAAAAAAAAGAAGAGCTAGCTCGAGAACAAAATTATATGTCAAGACCTTTTACATTTATATATGCAACACCTTCAACAAGTAGTAGCAAAACTAAATCTGGGGCCTCCCCGGTGGCACAGCAGTTGAGCGCTGGGTTGTGAGGCTGCCCGCAGCCTCTGTAGCACCGGTTCGATCCCCTGCTGCTTCTGCCTGCTCTGCTCCCTGCTCTGGCTCTGGTGAATTCTCTCGCCCTCCTGTGCTCCTGACTGTACCCGGTGCTTGTATAAATAAATAAATAAATAAATCTTTAAAAGAATAAAAAACAATCTGACAGCATATTAAAAGTAGTGTACTGCATGACGAAGTGGGATTTAACCCAGGAACACAAGAATAGTCCCAGTATAAGAAAACCAATGCTATTTGCCACATTAACAGAATGAAGGAGAAAAATTCATAATCATTTCAGTTGATACAGAAAATGTATCTGACAAAGTAAAGCAACTTCATGATAATAAAAGAAAAGTCACTCAATTCATGAAACAAGGGAACCTGTTCAACATTCGGAAGGATGTTAATTAAAAACCCACAGCTAACATACACAGTACTGAAAGGTTAATAGTTTCCCCTGAGATTAGGAAAATATTCCTGTTTTCACCATTGTTCTAAATTGCACTAAAAATTCTAATCAGAGCAAGCAGGCAAGAATAAGAAATAAAAGGCACTGAAGTTGTGAAGGAAGTTAGACTGTTCATAAGATATCATAACAAATGTAGTAAATCCCAGAGAATCCACTAATGTACTACTAGAACTAACAAAGGAATTAGCAAAGTTTCAGGTTTCAAGTACATACAAAATCTGTTGTTTCTGTACACCAGCAAAGAAAATTTTGAGAAAGAAATTAGAATAATTCATTTATAATAACACCAAAAAGAGAAAAATACCTACAAATATATTTAATCAAGGAAGTGAGACACTTGTTTAGGGAAAACTACAAAACACTGATGTGTAAAGATGATGAAAATAACTGGAAAGACACCCCATGTCCATGGTTGGGCTTGATAGTGTTAAAATGTCAATATTCAGTCTACATATTCAAAAAATTTCTATCAAAAGTCCAACAACCTTTTTAGCAGAAATGGGAACATGGTGTCTCAGATTCCAATGAAATGACACAGGGCCTCAAATAGCCAAAGCAAGCTTGAAAAAGAACAAGGTCAGAGGTTTGCACTTCCCAGTTTCAAAACTTACTACAAAAATGCAGTAATCAAAACAGTCTGGTGCTAACATAAGGGTAGATGTTCATATCAATATGATACAATATGATATCATTGAGCGCCTAGACATTAATCCATATACATGTGGTCAAATGATTTTTAGCAAGGATGCCAAGACCATTCCGTGAAGAAAGATAACTCACTTCAACAAATGGTGCTGGCCAAAAGCATGTCCACACATGGAAGAGCAGAGCCAAGCACCCCCATCTCATGCTATATTTAAAAATTGACTCAAAATGGTCCAGCAACCTAAAGATAAGAACTGAAATCTTTGCGACCATGTAGCTGGCCCCTGGGGCATTATTCTCAATGCAGCCGTACATGTAGAATCACATAAAAAATAGTAGTACAGATACAGAGGACATGTTGATGGGAGAAGGAGGAAATGCTTGAAGGAGTCAAAGATACAAGTTTCCAAGTTAAAACTATGTAACCTGCATGGATGATACTGCACCGTGATAAGAGTTAATCATGCTGCATTGCATGTGTGCACTGTATTACATTTGAAAGTTGCTAAGACTTGATCTTAAAAGTTCTCATTATGGCCTCCCTGGGCTCTGGGGTTAAAGTGTCAGCGCTATCAAGCTATCCCCAGTTACTGTGGCCTAAGCTCGATCCCAGCCAGGGCGCTGACCCACACCGTGCAGCTGCTTCCCTCTGCAGTGTGTTTCAGTAGATCTTCCTGTTCTGCTGCCCGCTCTGTCTCTGGTGAATCCTCTCATTGCACCTCTGGCCTGCACCCCAGCTCTTGTATGCATAAATAAATAAATCTTAAAAAAAATACACTTAAAAAATGTACAAACAAGCAAGAGAAAAGGTGCTCAAATTCATTAGTGATTCAGAAAATGCAAATCAAAAGGAGAGTCCCCTCATCATACCCACTGGCTGGCTATAATAGCAAACTAAAGCATCGATGGGGATGTGGAAAAACTGAGTGTGTTAAATGGTGCAACCACAAGGCAAACAATTTGGAAAAGTTTAAACATCGCATTACCATATGCAGCTGCAGCTCCACTCCTAGATAAGTAACCAGAAAATTAAAGGCAGGCACACAGGTACTGCACATCATACTCGCAAACCAACAGGTGCTACAGCCCAGATGTCGGCATAAGTGGGTGAGTGGGTAAACAAAAAGCAGTATATCCATTGATTGAGAAATATCAGGCTAGTCGGTGCTGTGACTCATAGGAGATACCAGGATGAGGTAGATTCCTGGAGACAATGTGGATTGTCTCCAGGAGTGGGGTGAGGGTGGGGCAGAGAAGGAGATAAACTGTTAATGGTCGGGGAAGCTTTTAGAGGCATGGAAGTGTTCCGGAACAAGAGAGCAGAGGTGATGGCATATGAATATGCATTTTATGTCGCTGAATGTTCATTGAAAATGGGGACTTCTGTTTATGAACTTCACCTCAATAAATTAAGTAAAATGAAAATGAAGCCTCTGTAGTAGATGAAAGACTGGTAGAGCGGGGCCTCCCCGGTGGCGCAGCGGTTGAGCGCTGGGTTGCGAAGCTGCCCGCAGCCTCTGCAGCGCTGGATCGATCCCCGGCTGCTCCCCGGCCACCAGAGGAGGGTCCCACATGGACGCGCAGACCTCTCCTGCCGCCCGCTGCTCCCCTCAGCGGTGTGCTTTGGTCCTTCTGCCTGCTCTGCTCCCCGCTCTGGCTCTGGTGAATTCTCTCACCCTCCCGCGCTTCTGACTGTACCCAGTGCTTGTATAAACAAAACAAACAAACGAATAAATAAATAAATAAATAAATAAATAAATAAAACATGCCTCTATTAAAAATAAATAAATAAATGAATGAATGAATAAATAAATAAATAAAAAGACTGGTAGAGCGCCCACCTAATGTGCACGGCCACTTGGACCTTGAGGCAGGTGGTTGGGGAAGGTGGACGGGTGGCCCCACTGGGCCCCCAGCAGCGGGCAGTGGCACCTAGCACTCCACGCCTGGTTTTGAGGCGGGTCTGTTCAAGCTGCTTCACAGACCTGGAGCGTCTTGTCTCGGGAAACACTAGCAGGTTGGTTGTTTTAGAAGGGCTCAGAGTTTCACCCCTTTCTCCAGTTGGGTGTCATGGTCAGGGACAGTGAGGACAGAGCAAGCAACTGTATTTGCTTTTGAAACTTTGCCATAAAAGCAGCATGAACAAGCCTACTAAAAAAAACTAAAACTGGAACTACCACATGATCCAGCTTTCCCACGTCCAGGTGTCTGTCCAGACTCAGAGTTATGTGCCCAGTGTCCACAGCAGTGTCTCTCACCTCAGTCCCCGCTGACTGGTGACACAGTCAGGGAGGCAGATAACACTGTGGAGTGCTGTCACGCTACAGGGAAAGGCAAAATCTTCCCATCTGCAGAAAATGGAAAGAGACAATTATGCAAATCTAAATTAGAGAGATAAAGATACTGGTCGTTTATTAGCTATTGAAAATAATAGGTGTTGGCAGAATGTTGAGAAACTGGAACCCTCATGTTGCTGGTGGAATAATTCCACCTACATGGACAATATGAGGAAACTAAGTGGAAAAAACACAAGAAAATAAACTAGTGGACACTGAAAACCAAACAGGTTACCAGAGGCGAACAGGGTGTGTGGTGAGTCAGGATTAATGGATGGTTATTGGTGGTTGGTTTTTTAATACAAGGCCTCTCGAGACCTCATTTACCTGGGGGCTCTGAGGATCGTGGGGGATACAGTGTGTGAGCTGTATGACAGCCTACCTGAGCAGCAGGAAAGGAAAACATGGGGCTGAGATCTGTGCCAGCCTTGTAGCCGCGTCCGCAGGAGAAGTGCCTGCTGTGGTCTCCATGCAGGGGGCAAGAAGTGTGCAGGGGCTTCTGGCTGTGGGCACCATAGCAGTGCACTGGGCCACGGGTCAGGTGAACTGTCCCCCCAGACGTGGCCAAGCTGGCAGAGGGCCTGGGTCTGGACGGAGGACACAAGGAAGGAGAATGCAGCTGCGGTGGATCCCAGAAATTTCAAATGGGGACAGGTGGTATCAGCCTAACCTGAGGGTTGGATCAGAGGGTGACCAGCCCAAAGAGGGTGGGGGGTGCTGTCACCCACCCACCGAGCCGGCATTGTTACTGACTCTAGCCAGGTCAGAAGCCACCTAGTAGTCCTGGGCCGCAATCCTGTTGGGGAACAGTCAGGACCACGGGAGACAGCAATGAGCAGCAGCAGGGAGGCCTCTCCAGTGAAGCTGGGAGAGAGGGAAGGAGCAAACCCAAGGACAGTCTGGGGAGGGTGTTCCAGGCAGAGCATACCCTAAGGTGGGTGTGTGCACCCTACTCAGGAAGCAGTAGGTTGAGGTGAAGAGAGGTGGGAGTGAGCTCAGGCAGCACCTGGGAGGATGTTGAAGCACTCTGATGTCACCAGCCTGTGAGTAGAAGGGGGTGTGGGACTTGGAAGCTACTCGATGCCCAGGCAGAAGAAGATGGCAGCAGCCTGGTGTCGGTGTCCCAAGTGAGAGATCTTCAAGCATGAAGACAGGAGAGGGAGGTGCCGGGCCTTTCGGGTGTGGCAAACTTGTGTATTTGCATCTTCCCTTCAGAAAGATAGAGCAAAACCTTAAACACTGTGTGTGCAAGAACTTGTCCAGCTAACGCCAGTCAGAATGGTAGATTTGGGGGGATGAAGGTGACTTTGGTGGGACAGGTTATGGTCTGTGATGCCTCCTCTGTTGAAATGGACAGAACCTGGCGTTTCACACAAGTCCCTGCTGCAGTTCTCAGCTCACCAAGAGCCATCAGGACCAGAGCTGTGCTCTGGAGACTGGCCAGAGAAGCTGACACTACATCAGTGGAAGGGGTGTGGAAGGGCGGCATGTTTTAAAATACAACTTGAGGGCCTCCCCGGTGGCGCAGCGGTTGAGCACTGGGTTGCGAGCTGCCCACAGTCTCTGCAGCACCAGTTCGATCACTGGGCGCGGGCGAGGGTCCAACATGGCGCACAGACCTCTCCTGCCACGCACGCTGCTCCCCTCAGCAGTGTATTTCATCAGTCTGCCTGTTCTGTTCCCCACTCTGGCTCTGGTGAATTCTCTCGCCCTTCTGCGCTTCTGACTGTACCCAGTGCTTGTATAAATAAATAAATAAATCTTTTTAAAAATAAAATATAACTTGAGGTGGGTAATGTTCTCTTTGTACAAGTGGGAGGGGTGAGCATCTGGATTAGGGACATGCTTCAAAGTAGAGTCCTGTCAAGGACTTGCCTATGACCCATTGTGGGTGAGAGAAAAAGGAGTAGAGGAGCCAGGACTTACTTGAAACCATACCGCAATTTCCTGAGACATGGGAATTGTTGAGGGGGCTGGTCTTCCCCTGGTTGCAGTGCAGCCTTGACCCCCCCGGAGCTCTCAGTGTCCTCCTTGGGTCCCTTGAGAGACCTGAGACTACAGTGGCCTGTGAGTTGCCCAGTTCGAGACTTTTCCGAGTATTTTCCTGTTTCCTACAAGTGACTTTATGTTTGTCAGTTTCAGACTGGGACACCACAAGTGAGGGCAAGGAGTTTCTACAGGAGGAAATTTCTGAAGATTTGGAATCGCTGGCAGGAATACCAGAAAACTGTGCTGGTGATGTGACCCAGGCCCCTGAGCTTGGCGTGTTCTCTGATGACATAGTAGAAAGAGACTGGGGAGTCCCTGATGGTGAGAGACTGGTGCAATCTGCCTACCAGCAGGTGAGCTGGAGCCCCTTAGGGGAGAGAGAGCTGAACTGCAATGGTTTTGAGGAAAGCTTCAGTCCAAGTTCAAACCCCACAGCATATGAGGAAGACAGGCCACATACATACGACATGTGTACCCAAAGCGCCAAACACAGTATAGACCTAACGAGCCACGAGGGGCTTCATACCACTGAAAGCCCATTCATATGTAATGAATGTGGAAAAACCTTCAGAGGAAACCCTGATCTTGTTCAGCATCAGATCATTCACGCTGAACAGAAGTCCTTCATATGTAATGACTGTGGAAAAGCCTTCAGCCAGAACTCAATTTTTAAAAATCATCAGCGATCTCATGTGAGTGAAAAACACTACCAGTGCAGCGAATGTGGGAAAGCCTTCAGTGTACGCTCAAGCCTCATTAAGCATCAGGTTAACCACAGTGGAGAGAAACTTCATGTATGTAATGACTGTGGAAAAGCCTTCAGCCAGAACTCAAGCCTTAAGAAGCACCAAAAGTCCCACGTGAGTGAGAAGCCCTACGAATGCAGTGAATGTGGGAAAGCTTTCAGGCGGAGCTCAAACCTCATACAACATCAAAGGATTCATTCTGGGGAGAAGCCATATGTGTGTGATGAATGTGGGAAGGCCTTTAGACGGAGCTCAAACCTTATTAAGCACCACAGGATTCACACAGGTGAGAAGCCTTTTGAGTGTAATCAGTGTGGGAAAGCATTCAGCCAGAGCTCACACCTGACCAAGCATCAGAGGGTCCACACTGGAGAGAGACCCTACGCATGCACTGAGTGTGGCAAGCCATTCAGCCGGGTCTCCAACCTCATTAAACATCACAGGGTTCACACTGGAGAGAAACCCTATAAGTGCAGTGACTGTGGGAAAGCCTTCAGTCAGAGTTCAAGCCTCATTCAGCATCGGAGAATTCACACTGGAGAGAAGCCTCATGTGTGTAATGTGTGTGGAAAAGCCTTCAGTTACAGCTCAGTGTTGAGAAAGCACCAGATAATTCACACAGGAGAGAAGCCCTATGAATGTAGTGTCTGTGGGAAGGCCTTCAGCCACAGCTCAGCCCTCATTCAGCATCAGGGCGTGCACACAGGTGACAAGCCCTATGAGTGTCGAGAATGTGGGAAAACCTTCGGTCGCAGCTCCAACCTTATACTTCACCAGCGAGTTCACACTGGAGAGAAGCCCTATGAGTGCACCGAATGTGGAAAAACCTTCAGCCAGAGTTCAACTCTCATTCAACATCAGAGAATCCATAATGGGTTGAAACCCCATGAATGTAACCAGTGTGGTAAAGCCTTCAACCGAAGCTCAAACCTCATTCACCACCAGAAAGTGCACACTGGAGAAAAACCCTACACATGTGTTGAGTGTGGGAAAGGCTTTAGCCAGAGCTCACATCTTATTCAACATCAAATAATCCATACTGGTGAGAGGCCCTACAAGTGTGGTGAGTGTGGGAAATCCTTCAGCCAGCGCTCAGTCCTTATCCAACATCAGAGGATTCACACTGGAGTAAAACCCTACTGCTGCACTGTTTGTGGGAAAGCCTTCAGCCAGCGATCAAAGCTGATCAAGCACCAGGTGACTCACGCCAGGGAGTGAAATCCAGTGTGCTGCACCTCCAGTTCCACTGGCCACAAAGTGGACCCTCCCTTAAGACCTCTTTTACAGGCTCCCTCTCCCTAATACTGCTCCCACCTCTTATGACTGACTGTTCTTTGTTGTTTTGATTTTAGGTTTTGTTCTCAGACTGCTGTTTCTGCTAGGAAAGTTGTAGAGTCTGCATATTCATGAATAGGATTTTTTACTGTAATTAAAGGAAACAGACATTTGGTTGGAGATTAACCACAATAATTCTTTAGTCCTAAGCAGTGAGTTCTTTGTCACTGACTGTAGTTGATCTGTTTACATAAAATAAAGATGAGTTTTTCAGGCTGATCGCTGTCACCCTCCCCCAGATGTGGTGTGTACTTATCACCACTAATTCCTCACCTTTCTTGTCCCTCCCATTCAGTAACTGGACACAAGTTACCTCCCCTTTGTCTGTATTCTGAGGTCACTGTTTCTGCTCCTCCCATCCCCATGACTCAGCTGTGACTGCACAGTGACCCTACCCAGTCCTATGCTTCCCCACCAGCACTCAGGTTAGTGTTTTTCCCAGTCCACTTATCAGCAGAATTCATGGAGCCCCTGTGAAAACCATCTAGCGGGGGAGGACTGGCCCCTCCTCATTTTCTTGGAGCTGTGCCTCCCTCTGCTTCCAGAACAGGGAGTGCTTAGTCCAAAGCCAGAACAGCTGCCCCTGGATAAACCTGAGGCTGTTTCAGGATGAAAGGAGGAAGGGGGCATAGGTAGGGGAAGAAGGAATACACACATAGCTCCACCACTGAACACATTTCCTAGGGACACAACTACAGCCTGAGACGGGGCTGCGTCACTCTTTGAAGTCATCTCTGCTGTATGCAGGAGGCTGAGTCCTGATCAAACCACAATAAGGGAGCCTGGCAGGGGATGACTCAGAAATCTCCCTCTGAGACCTCTCAAGGGTAAATGAGCAGTCAGCCTATTTTCTATATTCATTGATAGCATTTAAGCTTCATCCCTATACACATCTGGATTCACTCATAAGAAAGCTCCCCTCTATGGTACCAGAGGAAGATTCGAAACACTTTGTGTTTTGCCAAATTCCTGCTCAACCCAGCCCCAACCACAATAAACGCCCAAGCCAGTCTCTTCTTTGCCAGTCCAGAGAGAAGGGAGCCCTGACCTCAGTAACAAATGTCTTCAAACCTACATGGTGTGTGTGATATCATCAGACTTGATACCCAAACCAATTTATGGGTGGGGACCCATCTGTCTGCAGGTGACTGTACAATTGGAATTGATGCTGTGGGCAGGATGTGTAGATGGTGATGCCATCCAGAGTCTGTGCTCTTGCTCTGGCTTACTAACCAGCCCAGCAGCCTGCAGGCCAACATACACTCGAGTACGCTGCATGTCACACTGTTGAGTCCATCACAACCTCTATTAGATATTTAATGGACCAAAATTGGCAGTTTTGATAATTGGTGTGAGAATACGGGGTTAGGGTCTCCTTAAAATGGTCTTGGGTTTTTGTGTTTTTTTCTTTAAAGATTATTTATGCATACAAAAGCTGGGGTACAGGCCAGAGATGAAGGGGGTGAAAAGACTCACCAGAGACAGAATGGGCAAAAGAACAGACAGACTGCCTGAAATACACTGCTAAGGGGAGCAGCTGGCAAGATAGGAGAGGTCTGCCTTGTCATGTGGGTTGCTCCCTGGCCAGCCGGGGATCGAACTCGTGGTGCAGAAGCTGCACATTGCTTCGTAGTGTGGTGCTTAACTCCTTGCACCACCAGGGAGGCCTGGTCTTGGGTTTTGTGTCTGATCCCAGACCTATCTGTGTATTTGAGAACAAAGCTATGAGACTGTCCTGGGTGCAGTATGTAACCAATGGGTTATCACTCATGAAAGAGCAAGTGGGGGAGGGCGTCAGAGGCAAGCTGAGGTCCAAACCCAGGAAAGTAAATGCCCACAAAAACCCTTAAGTTGGGTTCCCAGAAGCAAGTGAATGACAGTGCAGACAAAAAGACTTTGGATAACATCAGGGGTTTTGAGAATTCACCTCAATTCTAACACTATCTACCTGGAGATACTGTCAGATTCCATGGATTAAGGGATCAGTCTCCCAAGTCTGCCCTCCACTGCAGATTGAGTGCCATCAGACTTGTGTGAGCCACAAGCCCAGGTTGCAGCCTGTGCTTCTGAACTACAGGTTGTGAATCAGAAGAACCTCCCCACCTAGACACACTGGCCCTGGGCAAAGAGACTCTTTTAAAAAGTATACAAATGACAACTGGGCACCTAGCAAGCCATAGACGCACCTCTACACATGAATTCTCTCAATCAAAACTCCATCCTGGCATCGGCCATGGAGCACTTGGGCCCTCTGATACTGGACACAGCCCACACGCATTTGCCTGAGGAAAACCTCTTCCCAGAAGAGCTAAAAAAGACACTTCTGGGCCTCCCTGGTGCCGCAGGTGGTTGTACGCCACACTGTGAAGCTGTCCGCAGCCTCTGCAGCGTGGGTTTGATCCTGGCCACCGGGCGAGGGTCCCACATAGCACGCAGACCTCTCCTGCTGCCTGCTGCTCCCCTCAGCAGTGTACTTCATCAGTCTCCCTGTTCTGCTCTCCGCTCTGTCTCTGGTGAATTCTCTCACCCTCCCACGCTTCTGACTGTACCCAGTGCTTGTATAAATAAATAATCTTAAAAAAAAAAAAAGACATTTCTCTGAAGAGGAAATGCAAATGGCCAACCGGCATATGAAAAAATGTTCAACATAACTCGTAATCAGGGAAATGCAAATCAAGACCACAATAAGATACCACCTTACACCAGTGAGAATGGCACATATCAAAAAAACTAGCAACAGGGCCTCCCTGGTGGCGCAAGGGGTTAAGTACAGCACTATGAAGCAATCTGCAACCTCTGCAGCACGAGTTCGATGCCCAGCCAGCCAGGGAGCTACCCACATGGTGCAGCAGACCTCTCTTGTCTCTCCCACTGCTCCCCTCAGCAGTCTATTTCAGTCAGTCTGCCTGTTCTGTTCCCCACTCTGTCTCTGCTGGATCCTCTCACCCCCCACAACTCTGGCCTGTACCCCAGCTCTTGTATGCATAAATAAATCTTTTTTTAAAAAAAAGCTAGCAACAACAAATTTGGCGAGGATGTGGACAAAAGGGAAGTCTCCTGCACTGCTGGTGGGAGTGCAAACTATGGAAATACGTATGGGGGATCCTCAATCTGCTAAAAATGGGGCTACCAAATGACCCACCAATTCCACTCCTAGGTATCTACCCAAAGGACACAAAAACATTAATTCAAAGAGACACCTGCACTCATGTTTATTGCAGCATTATTTACAGTAGGTAAACTATGGAAACAATCCAAATGCCCAAAAATAGATGACTGGATCAAGAAGATGTGATACATATACACAATGGAATATTACTCAGCAATCAAAAAAGATAAACTCAGGGCCTCCCTGGTGGCACAGTGGGTTAAGACGCAACTTATGAAGCTGTCCGCAGCCTCTGCAGCATGAGTTCGATTGCACGGCCAGCCAAGGAGCAAACCCATGGCGCAGCAGACCTCTCCTGACTCACCTGCTGCTCCCCTCAGCACTATACTTCAGTCAACTGCCTGTTCTTTTCCCCACTCTGTCTCTGGTGAATCCTCTCACCCCCAACACCTCTGGCCTGTACCCCAGCTCCTGTATGCATAAATAAATATATGTTAAAAAAAAAGATCAACTCATGCCATTCACAGCAACATGGATGGAGCTGGAAGAGATCATGCTCAGTGAAATAAGCCAGAGAGAAAAAGAAATATACCGGATGGTTTCACTTATAGGAGGAATGTGGAGGATCCAAATAAGTGATGGGGGGGTGAAGTAATTATAATAAAATGAAAACCAAAATCAACAAGCAACTATAAACCAGAGATATTCTGCAGGGGGGAGAAGGGAGTAGGATCAAAACAGGAGTGAGAAGAGCACAGGGGACTATGGTAATGGTACATGGGTGAACTGGTGGTGGGAATTTCACGGTGACTATAACCAAGATAAGAAAGCATACATTGCACAAAAATGAAGAATGATGTAAAAAATATATAAAATTTAAAAATAAACGTTAGGGCCTCCCTGATGGCGCAGGGGTTAAAAACAGCACTATCAAGCTATCACAAAGCCACTGCAGCACGAGTTCAATTCCCTGGCCAGCCAGGGAGCTGATCCACATGGTGCAGTAGACCTCTCCTGTCTCCCCGCTGCTCCCATCAGCAGTGTATTTCAGAGGATCCGCCTGTTCTGCTCCCCACTGTCTCTGGGGAGCCCTCTCACTCCCGCACCTCTGACCTGTACCCCAGTTCTTGTATGCATAAATAAATAAATCTTTTTAAAATATGTAAATTTTAAGAGAAAAAAATAGTCTCAGTCCCTTCTGATGCTAAAAAAATAATAATGATTTAAAAAATAAAAAAAAACCTCTGCCCAGACCAGTGCCCTGGCTGCTTGGATTGTGGGTCATTAACAATTATGTTGTGGCCTCCCTGGTGGCCTAGGAGTTGGGTCTCAGCGCTGTCACCACTATGGCCACAGAGCTGACCCACACGGGTGCAGCAGACCCTTCCTGTCTCCCTGCTGCTTCCCTCTGCCTGCTCTGCTCCCCACTCTGCCTCTGGGGAGTCCTCTCATCCCCACAACTCTGGCCTGCACGCCTGCTCTTCTACACACACACACACACACACACACACACACACACACACAAAACCTATGTTGGGTCCTCCCTGGTTGCGCAAGGGGTTAAGTCTCAGTACTATGAAGCTATGGACAGCCACCAGCATGAGTCTGATCCCTGGCCAGGATTAGGGTTATGGTTAGAGAATACACCAAAGACAGAGCGGGGAACAGATAGGCTGAAGTACACTGCTGAGGGGAGCAGCAGGCGAGCCAGGGGAGGTCTGCTGTGCCATGTGGGTAGCTCCCTGGCCAGAGATGGAACTTGGGCTGCAGAGGCTGCGGACAGCTTCAGCTTCATAGCGCTGTGCTCAAACCCTTGCGGCACCAGGGAAGTCCTAAATAAATCTTTAAAAAAAAAACAAAAAACCCAGGGCCTCCCCGGTGGCGCAGCGGTAGAGCGCTGGGTTGCGAAGCTGCCCGCAGCCTCTGCAGCCGGTTGATCCCCGGCTGCTCCCCGGCCACCGGAGGAGGGTCCCACATGGCGCGCAGACCTCTCCTGCCGCCCGCTGCTCCCCTCTGCAGTGTGCTTCGGTCCTTCTGCCTGCTCTGCTCCCTGCTCTGGCTCTGGTGAATTCTCTCACACTCCCCGCGCTTCTGACTGTACCCAGTGCTTGTATAAACAAACAAACAAATAAATAAATTTAAAAAAAAAAACCAAAACTATCTATGTTGGATGATGCTCAAGAATGTCACTGCGAGAATGTCACTGCTATTGATGCCTTACAGTCACTGACATCGCAGGCTGGGGTTGTGTGGGTTTGTGCATTCCCAACTCACTCTGACACTCAGGTGGATCTGCTCTGTCACAGGTCATCACCCATTGGTTTGTTTGATAAACTGCAAGTAAGTGGACACGTGAAAAGACAGAATCGTGAGCGGAGCATTAACACTGCTCAGAGCAGGACAACCTCGTGTCACACGGCAGAGCCCAGAAAGAAGAACTACGAACCCTGTTTTCCTGGATGACGTGGGTGCCCTGCGGAGAAGGGGGCTACGCACAGTCAGGAACCACGCAGCCCAGAGAGCTGGGAGCAAGGGCGGGTCTGTGCCGCCAGGTGCACCCCGCAGGCTCTCCCCTCTGGGAACCCGCCCGCAGGCCGGGTCCGGGGAGGCGCCGGGGAGGCTGCTCCTTTGTCCCCCGAGGCGGCCGGCCCCAGGCCCGAGGCCCCGCCGCGCCCGCCCCGCCCCCGCCTCGGGCCGCGCAGGCCGCCGCGCAGGGTCCAGGGCTCGCGGACTCCCGGGCTCCCGCGGGGGCGACCGGGTGGCGCGACGCGGGCGCGCGGTTCACTCACGGGGGCGCCGGAAGTGCGGCCTGTGCGCGGCCGCTCTAGGCGACGCGGGTCCTGCGCTCTCGGTGGCACTCGGGGAAGGACGCTGGGCGGGAGGGGCGGGGCCGACGGCCGGATAGAAGGGTCGCGCCCCAGGATTGGCGGTCTGGGCTTTGGGGGCGGGGCCTTTGTGGGCGGGGCCCCCAGGGATTGGCCGGCCGGCCGGCGGGGCGGGGCGGCCCCTTTGTCTGCGGGCCCAGCGCGCGGCCGCCCCTTCGCGCGTGAGGCTGCGGCGCGGCCGCCTCCCGGACCCGCTCTCCCCAGGTACCGGCGGCGAGGCTCGTGGGGTAGCCGCGCTCCCTGCAGGCTCGCCCCGCGCCCCGCAGCCGGCGTCTCGGCAGGCCGCCCGGGAGGGCGTCGGGGCGGCGCGGGCCGCGGCGCCCGCTCCCCGTCGCCGCCGCTCGCGGCTGCCCCGAGCGCCGCCCGGAGCCGGGACCGGGGCCGCCCTCCGCGCCGCGGCCGGCAGAGACCCCGCCCGCCCTGTCGCCTGCGGCCGAGAGTCGCGGCGGCGGCGGTTCTGGGGCGCGGGCGGGGACGCGGGGCGCTGGGGCCGCTCGCGCGACCTGCCGGCCGGCCCTGCCGCCCGCCCCGCGGCCCCCGCGCGCCTTTGTGGGCGGCGCCCGCGGACGCGCGGCCTCCCGGCGCGGGCTGCGGCCTCTGGGGGTCCCCGGCGGCCCCCCGCGGCCCGTCCGTGGGGCGCGGCGGCAGCTCTCGGGGCCGCGCGCCGCCGCTCGGGTGGACGGGCCGGCGCCGGCGCTTGGGCGGCCGCGCGCTCGCGGGAGATCCGCGGGCTCGGGCCGTCCCGGGGCCGCGGCCTGACGCGCTGACGGCGGCGCCGCCGGGGAGACGACTCGGGCTGTGCCCGCCCGGGGTTCTCGGGCGGACTGGGAGCCTGCGCCCCATGGCCCGTCCGTGCGCGCGCCGGCCGAGCACCCCCGGGGCCTGGTCGCCGCCTCCGAGCCGCCCGGCCGGCCGCACCTGGCGGGTGCCGCGGGCGCTCCTGGTGCTGGGGCGAGTTCGGAGCCTTCCCGCTGGGGGGCTCGGGCCGCCTCTCCCGACGTCCGCTCTGGACAGCCTGCTTGGCGGGCGTGAGGGGCACCGGCCGGCAGGAGAACCTGGTCAGGACGGCGAGGGAGGGGCGCGGGAGCGCGGACAGCAGTCACCGCGGGCCAGGCCTCGCCCGGGGCGGGCCGCGTCTTTCTACCCCCGCACCAGGGTCCCGGGGCTGCCGCCCCCAAGTCCAAGACTGTGGCTGTGCCGTCCCTTGTAGCGCCTGCCCTGGCGGTGGCCGTGGGCCCGAGGCAGACCCGCCTGGCGGCCGCTGCACTTACCCTCCTGCAGAAGTTGGTCCGTTTAGGGATTTGGGGTTATTCCGTGGAGAGATTTCTAAAAACAGAATTCCTAAGCTTGAAGAATAAATATGACCGATAGGTAGTGGGCTGCTGGTGGGGGCACCCCCTGGGGGTGTCTGTCCTTGTTCCTTTGTTGGGGGGCACTTGGGGAAGCCGCCTGGGAGCCATGGCGCCCCAGGTGGTTTCTCACCTTCAGGGTGTAGCAGTTTTGGTTTGAGGCCCTTGAGGTTGCTGCCTTAGCCTCTGGTCACAGACTTGTTCCAAAACCTTATCTACCAAAGTACAAAATAAAGCTAGTTAGTGCCACTTTGTAAATGTGCTTCCTGCGTTTCTTACCAGGGTGTGAGTGCTAGTCATTGGGACTGCTAGAACAAAATACCACAGATTGGGTAACCCTCTGAACAGGGATTTTCTTCTCACAGTTCTGGAGGCTGAAGTCAGAGGTTTGGGTGCCCGCACGAGCCCTTTTTGGGTGCCCACTGAGCCAGGTGCACAAGAACGGTGCTTTCCCACCATTTTTCCTGAAATGGGCTTCCTGCCAGATTTCTGGGTCCTTGCCACATGCCCCTCGGCAGTCCAGAAGATGTGAACCTGTTCCTCACAGGACCAATTCAGGAAAGTTCTCGTTCCCCCATTTTTTTCTGAAAGTTTGGATGTGATAGACACCTCAGCTTGTCTTGAGGTGTCCCCAGCCCTGGCCTGTCTGGTGTGTCCCCAGCCTGTCCTCACTGGGGCTGTCTCTGGAGCAGCCTGACCTTGCTCCTGTACCAAGTAGCAGTAGCTCGACCCCTGTGTGAGTGTTCTTACACAGGCCCTGCATGCCGGCAGGACCTTGGGCTGAGCTGGGTGAGCAAGCTGGGCACCCAAAGCCTTTGCGAGCTTTCCAGTAGCAGGTGTGACCAAATGACCACCAGGGTCCCAGGAGTCTGTGAAGGCCCAGGGCCAGGCCCTCGGGATGCACAAGTGACTCCAGGCACCTCAGAAACCAGACCTTCCTGGGCCCACACTGAGCGCAGGAACTGTGGGTCAAGTTCACAAGGGTCAGGCCTCATCCAGAAGGACCAGGGAACCCAGGTCCCCATGTTCTCTTCTTCCTCAACCCCACAGGCTCCTCTTGCTTTCCGTCCTTCTCAGAGGCCCCACATCATGCACAATGGCAGCAGCCAGGCTCCTCTCGCCACCAGCAGGACCCCAGGTGAGCCACCCTCAAAGGCTTGTGCCGCTGCTTGTGTCCCTGAGGTCCCACTCCCAGGGCACCAAGGGACGCTGCCTTCCTCGAACTCTGTGGCCTCTTTCCTGTGACCTCCACCATCCCCACCCCCAACACACAGTTTCCCCATCTGTCCCAGGGCTTCCCCCGCTCCTGTGTCCTGGGGTGTCTCCCCAGAAACCTGTTTTGCTTGCACCCACTCAGTCCTGTTGTGGAGACTTGGTCCGACCAGCAGCAGCCCCTGTCATTCCAGGCCAAGGTGACCTTCGAGGATGTGGCCGTGCTCCTCTCCCAGGAGGAGTGGGACCGTCTAGGCCCTGCTCAGCGGGGCCTCTACCGGCACGTGATGATGGAGACTTACGGGAATGTGGTCTCACTGGGTACGGCCCTTTCTGCAAGCTTGTGTGTGTTTGTGCACAGGAGGGGGTGCTTCCCAGAGGCAGTGGTCACAGGGCAAAGGCCTTGGCTCAGCCCCAGGTGCTCAGCTCCTGTCCATCTCACACCTGTGGACTGGGAGACCCAGGGTGGGGGTGCTGGCAGATGTTGCACAGACAGAAGGACTTTCCTTGAGCAGGACTTCCAGGATCCAAGCCCAACGTGATCTCCCAGCTGGAGCGAGGGGAAGAACCATGGGTCCCGGATGGGCAGGGGCCTGAGCAAAGCAGGGATCTGGGCAACAGCCACTCAGGTGAGTCTTCTCCTAGCAGTTCAGGTATGACCTGCTCTCCCTTGTTTTGGGACTTTGGACAGGCAATAGGTACATTAGGTTGTGGCCATCTTGCATGGAATTTTAAACTTTTGCTGGGTGCAGCTACAGATGGCAAGAAAACATGGAGCTTTCCCCAAAACCAGACCTGGGCTTCCTGGTGACTATGGTCTGGACTGGTGGAGGCCCCTCAGCTCTGAAGTCGAAGCAACTGATGTTTCATCTGCCTCAGCCCACAGAGCCTCTGACTCGGAGACATCTCCCCTGTCCCTGCAGGCACTCTCACTGCTGCCTTGCAGATATCACCTCCCACCTGGCAGATTGCCATCACGTCTCTCTCACCTTGCCCCTAGTGAATTCTCCAGACAGCCCCTACGCACAGTCTCCTGTATGGGTTACATACATCCATGTCTCTGGGGCCTGCGTGTAGGTCGCACATCTCCCTACCTGCGTCCACAGTCATAGGCCTGGCGCTGTATCTGTTCCTACAGCAGACGCCTCGGTCCATGGCAGGCTGCCACTTGCTGCTTTGTGCCCAGCGCTGGCACAGGAATGACAAGACCTCAGGCCAACGTTGTGACTCCCTTTAGGGCTTGACTTCACTGTCACGTGCAGTCAGGGAAGCCGCCTCCCGGGGGCACTCACTGTGGTTTTGAGTGGGGTTGACCTTTTCACTCTGGATTTGCTGTTTCAGAATGTGAGCACAAAGGAGAGACCCAAAGTAGAGGTTTGAGTCTGGCGCCATTTGTTTCAGAGGACACACCAGTGATTGTGGAGAAAACACAGCTGGGGTGGATCAGTGAAGGGAGCTGTGACCGTGACCAGAGCTGCTGTCAGAGTTCAGGCCCTGGAGTCAAGGGGTTGGGCCAGAGTGAGCCCGTCACCCCCCGCCAGGCCGCTGCTGCTGGGGAGCGGCCTTACAAATGCATCGAGTGCGGGAAGTGCTTTGGGCGGAGCTCCCACCTCCTCCAGCATCAGAGAACCCACACTGGAGAGAAGCCCTACGTGTGTGGAGTGTGTGGGAAGGCCTTCAGCCAGAGCTCTGTCCTGAGCAAGCACCGGCGGATCCACACGGGGGAAAAGCCCTATGAGTGTAATGAGTGTGGAAAGGCCTTTCGAGTGAGCTCAGATCTTGCTCAGCATCACAAAATCCACACGGGAGAGAAGCCCCACGAGTGTGTGGAGTGTGGGAAGGCCTTCACACAGCTCTCCCACCTCATCCAGCACCAGCGCATCCACACGGGGGAGCGGCCCTATGTGTGCCCTCTGTGTGGGAAGGCCTTCAACCACAGCACCGTCCTGCGGAGCCACCAGCGGGTGCACACTGGGGAGAAGCCACATGAGTGCAGCCAGTGCGGCCGGGCCTTCAGTGTCAAGAGGACACTGCTGCAGCACCAGCGGGCACACACTGGGGAGAAGCCCTACACCTGTAGCCAGTGTGGCCGGGCCTTCAGTGACCGCTCGGTGCTCATCCAGCACCACAATGTGCACAGTGGTGAGAAGCCCTATGAGTGCGGGGCCTGTGGGAAGGCCTTCAGCCACCGCTCTACCTTGATGAACCACGAGCGCATCCACACCGAGGAGAAGCCCTACGGCTGCTACGCTTGCGGGAAGGCCTTCGTGCAGCACTCACACCTGATCCAGCACCAGCGCGTGCACACAGGGGAGAAGCCCTACGTGTGTGGGGAGTGTGGGCACGCCTTCAGTGCCCGCAGGTCTCTGGTACAGCACGAGAGGATCCACACTGGTGAGAGGCCCTTCCGGTGCTCACAGTGTGGCAAGGCTTTCAGCCTCAAAGCCACCCTGATCGTGCACCTGCGGACCCACACAGGCGAGAGGCCCTATGAGTGCAGCCGCTGCGGCAAGGCCTTTAGCCAGTATTCTGTGCTTATCCAGCACCAGCGCATCCACACCGGTGAGCGGCCCTACGAGTGCGGGGAGTGTGGGCGCGCCTTCAACCAGCACGGGCACCTCATCCAGCACCAGAAGGTGCACAGGAAGGTGTGACCTCGGCTGCCAGGAGGTCCACACTCAGGAGCTCACACCAGGCCAGGAAGGCGCCACCCAGGAGCAGCTTCCATGGACTCTACAGGATGTTCTTCTTGCTCACTTTGGGAACAGAGTAACTGCACAGAGAAGCACTGAACATGTTCCTGTAGAAAAGTTTCAGAGGATGCTTCTTATATTTTTCTCAATATGCTGAAGTCACATTGGAGAGAAATCTCAGTTTTGATGAAGACAGCCATAGTTCATTCCTTAACATTAGTTCATTTGGAGTAACTAAGAAAAGTTAAAGCATAAGGACTACTGATAAAACTCTTAAATTGCAAATAAAGGGTTTTTTTCTCCTTAGAATATCACATACCTTTTCTAAAGAGTTATTCCTGTTATTTCTCTTAAAATTAGAGTGTTGGATTATTTTCAGTATTCTTTTAAAACACTACAGTGCTGTATGTTTAAAAACTTTGAAAACATGCCATCAAGCATCATGTGATATGGGTGGAAATCCAAAGTGTGTGGAATCACCTGTTTTTGTATGAAAAAAGGAAGAAAGTCCAAATATAATGAGAAATTGTGAAATTTAGAAGCCCTTTCTCTGGTGCTTTAACTTTATCCAGGATCAGAAGGGATGTCCTAACAAGTAAAAGTTAAGAGTTTTCCTCAAAACCTTCCTTTATGACCCATAGGCCATGCCCCAGAGACCTCATAGCTGTCACATCAAGTGGGTGCCTCTACATGCTGTTACTTCAAAAAAAAAAAAAAAAAGACAGTTCTTTAGTACCTGTTTTTTTAGACAATTCTCCAGCTGTTTATTATTTTTTATTCCTATGTTTATGGGTTTGTGGTTTTTTGTTTTTACTCCTGGTTACAAGAGAATCTAGTATCATCATACTGTGGTGAATCTGGCTTTCATGGTTTAAAATTTGTGTTTAGCCTTTTCAGAAAATACTTGATCTGCTGTAAGGATACAGTTCTTGTAACTAAGTTTGTATCAGAGCCATTTCTAGTAGCCGTCAGCCATAAAGGACTCTAAAAGATCCCAGCCTCTTCAGATTATCCTGATGAAGAAGGTTTTCTCAAAACCATCAGCTGCTCTGGAAAGACCAAGCACTGAGGTATTGTTCCTGCCCGCACCAGTACACTGAGCAGACAGTGGAGAGAGGCTCCTGGCTGACATGTTACTTGAGAGGCACGGAGGCCCTGATGTCTCAATGCAGGGAAATCCTGACGGCTATCACCAGGCATTGGGCATCACTTCGGATGGTGAGTTGACACTGCTGCAGAGCAGGTGGTGGCACCTTAAGAGCAATGACTTCACTAGGGTGTCGCTTTGTGGAGCCCAAATCACACGTGTTACTTCAAAAATGAAGCCCTGAAGTCGTGCTTTGGAGTGGCTGATACTGCCACTGGTTGAAGAACCTGGATCCCCTGAGATGACTCCAGTGTTACATCAGAGGAGCTGAAGTCACTAAACTTCATAGGCGCTGAGACCAATCAATAAGGTATTGCCTGAAGTTCCCCACAGCTGGAAGCTACCAGCCCACCTGGAGCCAGTCCACAGCTCATCTGACTGTGCTGCTGAGCACTCACCACCACTCGGCACAGTGTCCAGTCACGTGGATGAGTTGAGTAAGAATGAGGTTCATCAGAATGAATGAGAGTTTATTTACATTCAGCTTACAGGCTAAATGCTTGGAAGGGCCTCAGTCTGTCACAGACAATTCAAGTTGCATAGTTACTCAGTTGGTGAATTCTCCGCATAACCTGAGCTATTGGAGGAAATCTTCCCAGAATGTAGTTTGCTTTCATGCCGCCTCCGTGAAAGTGTACTTAATACTATTTTGCCTTTTCTTGCTACCAGCCTGTCATTGACCCCTTTGTGAGCTTACAGGTTGTGGGAAGTGAGCTGTCGCCCCTACCCGGGGAGGGTCCCGGGTCCTGCATTGTTGCCACTCAACCTGCTGGAACAGATGGACACTGCCTCTTTTGGAAGTGGCATCAGCGACCAAATTGGCCTTTGGGGTCTCCCCTCATTGAGATAAATTTTTTAGCCATTGCCTCTGCTTCTGACTTAGCAGCATTCCATGCTGATGGGTGTGGTTTTTTTATTCAGAGTCTGCATATTCTAAATAAAACCTTTATATTATTTCTCCTTACAGCTGCAAGGAATTTGATATTTAGTTCTCTAAATTTTACTTGGAAAACGGTTTCGTCCATGTGGAGTTTATTTCTGTGTATTGTGTATAATCAAGCAATTTTCAATAAAAAAAAAAAAAAACATTGTGGATGAAGGGAGACCAATGCTGATAATCTACAAGTCAGTAACAAATGGTTGGGCAGCCCAGTATGGGAAGAGCATGCCATCTCCTTAAGAGCTGGTGAAAGTCACCCAGGGCTGTGAAAGTGAGAGATTAATGCTTTCACCCTCCCCCCCCCCTTTACTAAAAGAAGTAGACATTTAATAGCTGCATAACTTTTAGTTTTCCTTATATCTAAAGGTTGCACCTGGTTTTTTAAAAATATTTATTTATGCATACAAGAATAGCCAGAGGTGCTGCTGGGTGGGGAGGCCAGGTGAAAGGACACCTCAGAGACAGAGTGGGGAGCAGATCAGGTGAATTGACTGAAATACACTACTGAGGGGAGCAGCGGGCTAGTCAGGAGAGGTTTGTGCTGTGTGGGTTGCTGCCTGGCCAGGGATTGAACTCTTACTGCAGTGGCTGCAGTTAGATTCATAGTGCTGAGACTTAACCCCTTGCACCACCAGGAAGGCACCTATTTTTTTTTTTTAAAGTACGTAGGTGTTTTGAAGTCCTGGATACCAGCCTGTGAGAGAGGTGGGAACATGGCGTGACCCTTTCCCTTCACTGGAAAAAGATGACTGCACATCAGGAGTTGGCTCTGCAGGCTGCAGGGGAGGCAAGGGCACTCCTAGAGGACAGGCTGGGCAAATTCTGGCCACCAAAGGCTACTATGCAGAGGAGCTACTGGCGTGGGAGACCTGGGAGGGTCTTTACTAGGAGTTTAGGCTTTCCCTGGGCAGAGGGGAAACTCCAGCCAAGGCATCTGGGTTAGTTTAAGGGATATGGCATTCATTTTCATACTTACAATTTCTTTGTTTTTATTTATACATATAAGAGCTGGGGTACAGGCCAGAGGTGCAGGGGTGAGAGGATCCACCAGACAGAGTGAGGAGTGGAACAGGCAGATCCACTGAAACACACCGCTGAGGGGAGCAGCAGGGGGACAGGAAAGGTCTACGCCCTGCGGGTCTGGTGATAGCTTGACACAGACATCCTCTGCGCCACCAGGGAGGCCCCATGCTTACAAGTTCTTTGGAAACTCAGGTAAGGTGGTGTGAAGATCATTACAAGACCGCCTTCACTTCTGACACCAGTAATCTGCACAGTGACTCAGAGCTCATGACGAAGCTGCTACATACACACAGGTACAGCCTGTGACAGGTGCAGGGAGCACAACCCAGGAGATGGCACATGGGGAACCTCTGCTGTCCTCTCCCTGAGCAGTCTAGGCAGCACACTGCCCCAGCACTGAGTACTGCTGACAAGGACACCCACCTGAGCCTTGGCATCAAGTTTTCATTGCGGTTCGGTGATGCTGACCCAGCAAATGTCTGCTGTCAGGTCAGGCTGATGCTGCATGCCCCAAGGCCCCACTAAGTCACACGGTGTGAACTACCTGGATGGCCCAAGGTCACCGGTAATTGAAGACATCGGACAGGACATTCCAAACACCAGGAGTTGAGGGCAAAGGCCAGCCTTCTTCAGGGAAGGTTAGTCCTTGCTATGTGGGTGGTAACGCAGAAATGTATCAATGTCCTTTACAAAGCTTGTCCTGTTCCTAAGATTTATAGATGTAATTTTTTTATGAATTTTTTTAGATTTATTTATTTATTTATACAAGCACTGGGTACAGTCAGAAGCGCAGAAGGGTGAGAGAATTCACCAGAGCCAGAGCGGGGAACAGAACAGGCAGACTGACAAAATACACTGCTGAGGGGAGCAGCAGGCGTGGAGGAGGGGTCTGTTGTGCCATGTGGGACCCTCGCTGGTGGCCGGGGATCGAACCGGCGCTGCAGAGACTGCGGGCAGCTTCGCAGGCCAGCGCTCAACCACTGTGCCACCAGGGGAGGCCCTATAGATGTAATTTTTAAAAATAAAGGCCTGAAATTAGTCACTACAGAATACGTTGACAAATTTTATAAAGTATGTCAAGTGGATAGAAACTGAAGTGAAAAACATTTCAGTGGTTCAACAGCAGATAAAAAGTATCTGAACTTGATAATTGAAATTATCCAGAATGAGAAGCAAAAGGAAGAATGAGAAAAACAATCCTGAGAAAATCATGAAACACCACCAAATGAATCAACATGCACATTAGAGGATTTCCACAAGGAAAAGAGAAGGACAAAAATATTTGCAGAAATAACGGTCAGGGAATTCTAAGATCTGAGGAGACATGAAAATTCATGTCAAGGAAATGAACTCCAAACAGGATTCATCTCAAAGAGACCCACACTGAATCATATTCTAGTCCAGCTGTCAAAACGCAAAGACAGTGTCCTCCCTGGTGGCGCAAGGGGTTAAGTCTCAGCACTAAGAAGCTGTCCGCAGCCTCTGAGGCACGGGTTTGATCCCCGGCCAGAGAACTGGCCCACGGGGTGCAGCAGACCTCTCCTGTCTTCCCCACTGCTCTGCTCAACAGTGGATTTCAGTAGGTCTGCCTGTTCTGCTCCCCACTCTGTCTCTGGTGAGTCCTCTCACCCCCACACCTTTGGCCTGCACTCCAGCTCTTGTATGCATAAATAAATAAATCTTAAAAAAAAAAGCCCAGGGGCCTCCCTGGTGGCACAAGGGGTTAAGACAGCACTATGGGCCTCCCCTGGTGGCGCAGCGGTTGAGCGCTGTAGAAGCTGACCTTTCCTGCCGTGCCCGCTGCTCCCCTCAGCAGTGTATTTTGTCCGTCTGCCTGTTCTGTTCCCTGCTCTGGCTCTGGTGAATCCTCCCACCCTCCCACACTTCTGACTGTACCCAGTGCTTGTATAAATAAATAAATCTTAAAAAAAAAAAAAAAAAGACAGCACTATGAAGCAATCTACAGCTGCTGCAGCACAAGTTTGATCCCTGGCCAGGGAGGTGACCCACAGACCTCTCCTGTCTTGACCACTGCTCCCCTCAGCAGTGTATTTCTGTACATCTGCCTGTTCTGCTCCCTACTATGTCTCTGGTGAGTACACACACACACACACACACACCCCATCTCTGCACCTTAGCTCTTGTATGCATAAATAAATCTTTTTTTTTTTTTAAAGATTTTTTTTTAAAATAGAGGCATGTTTTTCTTTATTTGTTTGCTTGTTTGTTTTGGTTTTTTTGTTTATACAAGCACAGGGTACAGTCAGAAGCGCGGGAGGGCGAGAGAATTCACCAGAGCCAGAGCGGGGAGCAGAGCAGGCAGAAGGACCGAAGGACACTGCTGAGGGGAGCAGCGGGCGGCAGGAGAGGTCTGCGCGCCATGCGGGACCCTCCTCCGGTGGCCGGGGAGCAGCCGGGGATTGAACCGGCGCCGCAGAGGCCGCGGGCAGCTTCGCAACCCAGCGCTCTACCGCTGCGCCACCGGGGAGGCCCTGCATAAATAAATCTTTAAAAAAAAAAAGCCCAATGATAATCATTTGGAAGCAGCAACGGAAAAATAATACCTCACACTGAAAAAAAATTCTTAGATTAGCAACTGATTTCTCAGAAATTCTGGAGGCTAGAAGGTAATGATGTGTTTACAGGCCTGAAGGGGGGGAAAATACCAGCTAAGAATTTGACATACAGCAAAATGACCCTTCAAGAAAGGAGAAATTGCCGGGCGTGGTGGCGCGCGCCTGTAGTCCCAGCTACTCGGGAGGCAGAGGCAGGAGGATCGCTTGAGTCCAGGAGTTCTGGGCTGCAGTGCGCTGTGCCGATCGGGTGTCCGCACTAAGTTCGGCATCAATATGGTGACCTCCCGGCAGCGGGGGACCACCAGGTTGCCTAAGGAGGGGTGAACCGGCCCAGGTCGGAAACGGAGCAGGTCAAAACTCCCGTGCTGATCAGTAGTGGGATCGCGCCTGTGAATAGCCACTGCACTCCAGCCTGGGCAACATAGCGAGACCCTGACTCGCCTTAAAAAATAAAAAATAAAATAAAAAAAAAAAGAAAGGAGAAATTAAGACGATATTTCCAGATAAAGAAAAGTTGAGGTAGTTCATTACCAGCCATCCTCCTCTACAAGAAATGCAGGGGTTAGGGGGTGGGGGTGGGGTCCTTCAGGTCAAAATGAAAGGATATTAGAAATTCAAAACTGTAAGAAAAAAAAACACTGGTAAAAGTAACTGCATAGGTAAATATGAAAGGTATTGACAGTATTCTGTGGTGTCTAACTTGTTCCTACATTGTTTAATAGGCAAATGCACATAAAATAAGCACAAGTACATGTTAATAGGCATACAATGTATGAACATGTGGTCTACGGCAATAACACTATAGAGTGGGACAGACAGAAATAGGAAAAGGTGTTTTTACTATTAAAATTATGTTTTGGAGTTACCTAAACAGGATTGTTACCAGCGCAGGGTTTTAAAGAAAAACTACATTTTTTAAAGGCAGAGAAATTGAGGGGGAGAAACAGATATGACAGATAAATGGTAAATGTATGTCCATCAATAATCATAAAATTCTAAGTGGATTAAACAGTTCTATCAAAAGAGATTATCAGGTTAGATTTTAAAAATGATCTAACTACATGCTCTCTGTAAGAAACATATAAAGACACAAGTTGAAAATAAAAGGATGAATAAAATATATCCCATGCAAATAGTAACTAAAAGGGAGCTGAAGTGGCTATGTTTTTATTAGTCACAAATGACAAAAAAATTACAAGAGACAGGACATTTTCCATTGATAAAGGTTCAATATAGCAAAAAGATGTTATAAACATACACACCAAATAACAGAACCCTAATTATCCAAATCAAAATGATGAAAGGGGGCTTCCCGGTGGCGCAGCGGTTGAGCGCTGGGTTGCGAAGCTGCCCGCGGCCTCTGCCACGCCGGTTCGATCCCCGGCTGCTCCCCGGCCACCAGAGGAGGGTCCCACATGGCGCGCAGACCTCTCCTGCCGCCCGCTGCTCCCCCCAGCAGTGTCCTTCGGTCCTTCTGCCTGCTCTGCTCCCTGCTCTGGCTCTGGTGAATTCTCTCACTCTCCCGTGCTTCTGACTGTACCCAGTGCATGTATAAACAAACAAACAAATAAATAAATAAAACATGCCTCTATTTAAAAAAAAAAAAAATGATGAAAGGAAAACAAGTCTTTTTTTTTTTTTAAGATTTTAATTTTTGGGCTTCCCTGGTGACGCAGGGGTTACTATGAAGCTATCCACAGCCACTGCAGCACAAGTTCCATCCCCAGCTAGGGAGCTACCCACATGGTGCCGCAGACCTCTCCTGACTTGCCCACTGCTCCCCTCAGCAGTGTACTTAGGTCAATCTGCTTGTTCTGTTCCCCACTCTGTCTCTAGTGAATCCTCTCATCCCCACACACACCTCTGGCCTGTACCCCAGTTCTTGTATGCATAAATAAATAAATCCTTAACAAAAAAAGATTTTTATTTATTTATGCACACAAGAACTGGGTGTAGGCCAGAGGTTGGGGGTAATGAAAGGACTCCTCAGAGACAGAGTGGGGAGCAAAACAGGCTGATCTGCTGAAATCCACTGCTGAGCAGAGCAGCGGGCAAGACAGGAAAGGTCTGCTGCGCCCTGTGGGTCAGCTCTCTGGCTGGGGATCAAAGTGGTGGTGCAGTGGCTGGGGATAGCTTGATAGCACTGAGACTTTAACCCCTGCACCACTGGGGAGGCCGCAATACTTTATTTTTTTTAATTTATTTTTTAAAGATTTATTTATTTGTTTATACAAGCACTGGGTACAGTCAGAAGCGCGGGAGGGTGAGAGAATTCACCAGAGCCAGAGCAGGGAGCAGAACAGGCAGACTGACAAAGTACACTACTGAGGGGAGCAGATCATGAGAGATCCGCGCGCCATGTGGGACTCTTGACAGTGGCCAGGGGCTGGCAGCTTTGCAGCCCAGCGCTCAACCGCTGCACCACCGGGGAGGCCCCCCAATACTTTATTTTTAATAACACAACAATCACTGAAAATCAATAAGGAAAGAGAGGGCTTAAAGGACACCAGGAATCACTCACAGGCAGCTACACTCATCAGCTGGACGCATTCCTTCCAAGGGTATTTGGGGCATCTCTCCACATTAAATCATAACACAGAGGGCCTTCCTGGTGGTGCAAGGGGTTAAGCACAGGACTATGAAGCTGTCAACAGCCACTGCAGCTGGAGTTCTATCCCCGGCTGGCCAGGGAGCTACCCACATGGCACAGCAGACCTCTCCTGTCTCCCAGCTGCTCCCCTCAGCAGTGGATTTCAATCTGCCTGTTCTGTTCCCCACTCTGTCTCTGGTGAATCCTCTCACCCCCACATCTATGGCCTGTACCCCAGTTCTTGTATGCATAAATAAATCTTTAAAAAAAAAAAAAAAAAAAAGGTGGGCCTCCCCTGGTGGCACAGTGGTTGAGTGCTGGGCTGCGAAGCTGCCCGCAGCCTCTGCAGCGCCGGTTTGTTCCCTGGCCGCCAGCGAGGGTCCCACATGGCGCCACAGACCTCTCCTGCCACCCGCTGCTCCCCTCAGCAGTGTACTTCGTCAGTCTGCCTGTTCTGCTCCCCGCTCTGGCTCTGGTGAATTCTCTCACCCTCCCGCACTTATGACTGTACCCAGTGCTTGTATAAATAAATAAATAAATCTTAAAAAAAAAAAGTTTTAAAAATTAAAAAAAGGTATTGAGATAACAAGTCTAGTCACATGAACATTAAAATAAACAAAATACATAGGTATAAAGGAAACAAGAGCTTGTCTACTGAAAACTAAAAGCTCACTGAAATAAGCTCAAGAACACATCAACAAGGGCCTCCCTGGTGGCACAGCAGGTTGAGCGCAGCACTGTGAAGCTGTCCACAGCCCCTGCAGCATGGGTTCAATTCCTGGCTGGCCAAGGAGATACCCACAGGGTGCAGCAGACCTCTCCTGTCTCACCCACCGCTCCCCTCAGCAGTGCCTTAGGTCCATATGCCTGTTCTGTTCCCCGCTCTGTCTCTGGTGAATCCTCTCACCCTCCCGCACCTCTGGCCTGTACCCCAGTTCTTGTATAAATAAATCTTTAAAAAAAAAAAAAAAAAAAGAACACATCAACTAATGGAAATAGACACTGTGCTTTGGGAAAGGAATTAATATTGCTAAAGTGACATTACCTGAAGTGATCTAGAGTCAATACTATCCTTATCAAAATCCCATTGGGGGGTGGGCCTCCCCGGTGGCGCAGCGGTTGAGCGCTGGGTTGCGAAGCTGCCCGCAGCCTCTGCGGCACCGGTTCGATCCCCGGCTGCTCCCCGGCCACCGGAGGAGGGTCCCACATGGCGCGCAGACCTCTCCTGCTGCCCGCTGCTCCCCTCAGCAGTGTCCTTCGGTCCTTCTGCCTGCTCTGCTCCCCGCTCTGGCTCTGGTGAATTCTCTCACCCTCCCGCGCTTCTGACTGTACCCAGTGCATGTATAAACAAAATAAACAAACAAATAAAATAAATAAATAAATAAAAACATGCCTCTATAAAAAAAAATAAAAATAAAAATAAAAATCCCATTGGGTCTTTTGCAAATATAGAAAAATTCACACTAAAAAAACCTCAAGGCCCCCAACAGCCAAAACAATCCTGAATAAAAGAATGTTGGGGGCCTCCCCGGTGGCGCAGCGGTTGAGCGCTGGGTTGCGAATCTGCCCGCGCCCTCTGCGGCGCCGGTTCGATCCCCGGCTGCTCCCTGGCCACCGGAGGAGGGTCCCACATGGCGCGCAGACCTCTCCTGCCGCCCGCTGCTCCCCTCAGCAGTGTGCCTCGGTCCTTCTGCCTGCTCTGCTCCCCGCTCTGGCTCTGGTGAATTCTCTCACCCTCCCGCGCTTCTGACTGTACCCAGTGCATGTATAAACAAAACAAACAAACAAACAAATAAATAAAACATGCCTCTATTTAAAAAAAAAAAAAAAAGAATGTTGGAAGGCTCACAATTACGGATTTCAGAACTTACTACAAAGCTACAGTAATTAGAACTCATGTGGTACAGGCACAGAAGAGACACGTAGAACAATGGAACTGAGTCCAGAGCAAACCCTCCCGTATATGAGCAACTGACCTGCCTGCGGGGCTCTGCTGTGTGTAACTGCCGCAGGGCTTTGGCTTTGTCAAACCTTGGATCAATAACATCGTCTCTTCTTTTTTTTTATCACATTTACTAATAACAGAACCACTTCAGCAATTCTGGTTATTATTTGTATGGAATATATTTTTTATCCTTTTGCTTGGAGTAATAAAGTATTTCTGGAAATAGTAGTGATGGTTACACAACATTGAGGATGCAGTCCATGTCACTGAATTGTACACTTAAAAATGGTTGAAATGGGGCCTCCCCGGTGGCACAGTGGTTGAGCGCTGGGCTGCGAAGCTGCCCGCAGCCTCTGCAGCGCCGGTTCCATCCCTGGCTACCAGCAAGGGTCCCACATGGCGCGCAGACCTCTCCTGCCGCCCGCTGCTCCCCTCAGCAGTATATTTTGTCAGTCTTCCTGTTCTGTTCCCCGCTCTGGCTCTGGTGAATTCTCTCACCCTCCCGTGCTTCTGGCTGTACCCAGTGTTTGTATAAATAATCTTTAAAAAAAAAAAATGGTTGAAATGTGGGGCCTCCCCTGGTGGTGCAGGTGGTTGAGCTCTGTGAAGCTGTCCACAGCCTCTGCAGTGCTGGTTTATTCCCAGCCGGACAGCAAGGGTCCCACATGGCACGCCAGACATCTCCTGTCGCGCCCGCTGCTCCCCTCAGCAGTGTATTTCGTCAATCTGCCTGTTCTGTTCCCCGCTCTGGCTCTGGTGAATCCTCTTACCCTCCCACAAATCTGGCCTGTACCCTGGATCTTGTATAATAAATAAATCTTTAAAAAAAAATGGTTGAAATGTTACGTTCTGTTACACATAGTTTACATCAATAAAAAATTATCGTCACTATTAAATAACACAGAAAGGCATGAATGTTAATTTTTCAAGATACACAACCTATTTAAAACAAAAAAAAAGATACACAACATGTAAAAATGTTTAAGTATGTGGAATTCTCTCCAGGGAGAATTTTATGAGGAAACAGCTACTGTGAAGACCCTAGTTGCTGTGAAGCAGTAACAACACGTGGCGTGTCTGGACCACGCTCAGTCAGCACTGATAAACTCCCTACGTGGTACGGTTGCAGGAGCTTCTCTTTTTTGTTCACCTTCTCAGTTTCTCTAAAGTAGTTACGTGCTTTTGGTTTGTTATTTTTCAGTTAGCCAGAAATGTCCTTTCCCTCTGTGACAATAAAAGAGTGTGGAAGAAAGACTCATGGGCTCTCTGCTCCCATTACATAGAAGATTCCCGGAGGTGAATTCTCTGATGCTGGCACATATTAGAGCTGTGCCGGAAGGCCTTCCCACACTCACTACACTTGTAAGGTTTCTCCCCAGTGTGGATCCTCTGGTGTTGGATGAGGTAAGTGCCCTGGCTAAAGGATTTCTTGCAATCACTGCATTTATATGGCTTGTCTCCATGGTGTGACCTTTGGTGGTGAATCAGTCTGGAACTGTTATGGAAGGCCTTCCCACATTCATTGCACTTGTAGGGCTTCTCTCCTGTGTGGATCCTCTGATGCTGGATGAGGTGTGTGCTCTGGCTGAACACTTTCCCACAGTCACTACATTCATAGGGCTTTTCTCCAGTGTGGCTTCTCTGATGTTCAACAAGTTTGGTTTTTTGGATGAAAGCTTTCTCACACTCATTACATTTATAGGGTTTTTCTCCAGTGTGAATTCTTTGATGTTGGATAAGGTTAGAACTTTGGGTAAAGCCTTTGCCACATTCTTTACACTCAAATGGCTTCTCTCCAGTGTGAGTACGACGATGTCGAATAAGGATTGACCCATCACTGAAGGCTTTACCACAATCTTTGCACTTATAGGGTTTCTCTCCAGTGTGAATTCTCTGATGATAAATAAAAGAAGAGTAGGCACTGAAGTATTTCTCACACTCACCACACTTGTAGGACTTCTCCCCAGTATGAGTCCGTCGATGTCGGTTAAGGATTGAGCTGTCACTGAAGGCTTTCCCACAATCATTGCATTTATAGGGTTTCTCTCCAGTGTGGATTCTCTGATGATAAATAAGAGAAGAGTAGGCACTGAAGTGTTTCCCACACTCACTACACTTGTATGGATTCTCCCCGGTATGAATCCTCTGATGTTTCATGAGGTTGGGTCTCTGACTAAATGTCTTCCCACACTCTCTGCACTGGTATGGGATCTCCCCCGAGTGCATCCTTTTGTGACTGATGAACTCACAGCTCTGATTGAAAGTCTTCCCACACTCATCACACTTATGGGGCTTCTCTTCATTGTGAAGCTGCTGGTGCTTGAAAAGGTTAGCAATATACCTGAAGGCTTTTCCACAGTAACCACAATAATGCAATTTTTTCTCAGTAAGAACTTTCTGGTCTTCTTTAACAACTAAATTTGCACTGAAGAGTTCTCCAGAATCATGAACTTTATTTGGTTTTCTTGATCTTTGTGCATGCTTATGCTTATTAAGATATGACCTCTCTTCAAAACTGTCCTCACATATACCACAACTGTGAGGTCTTTGATCAGCGAAGGGACTTGACCCCAATCTGAGGCTTCCCCCAGACAACTGGCAGTTCTTGTTGGTCATTGTGACTGGCCTGGGACTGCTCTGCTCTACTGGCTTGTCCAGGTTCTCCTCTTGCTCCCTGACATGCTTACAGGTTTCTCTCAGCCCAGATCTCTGGGGAACAGTCCTCCTGAGTTCATCCAGTTCCACATCAAGCATCTCCCCTGAAGTCAACTCCTTGTACTCAGTTTTGGTCTTATGAGCTGAAACAACAAACAGAACATCTCAGAATCACCTCTTCTGACTCTGGAAGGAATTTATGAAGCTGCTGGTGACTACTTGCAGAGTACCAATTTGGTCACCTCTAAAGTCACAGTCACCTTGCAGAGATGAGTGCCTGGAGCCTAAAGGCTTATGGACCTCACTTAGGGCCACAGTTATGCGGCATTGCAAGCACTTAAACCCAGGTCAGGGCCTCCCTGGTGGCACAGGCGGTTGAGCGCTGCACCGTGAAGCTGTCCACAGCCTCTGCAGCGCAGGTTCAATCCCAGCCAGCGAGAACCCCACATGGCACAGCAGACCTCCCCTGTCTCACCCGCTTCTCCCCTCAGCAGTGTATTTTGTCAGTCTGCCTGTTCTGTTCCCCGTTCTGTCTCTGGTGAATCCTCTCACCCTCCTGCGCTCTGGCCTGTACCCCAGTTCTTGTATAAATCAATCAATCTTTAAAATAAATAAATAAATAAACCCAGGTCAGACCAGTTCTAACGTCTATGCCCTTCCTGCCTGCCTTATGCCCACAAAACCTGCCTGAACGGGACTGTAGGATGCCTGCCCTCAGGACACAGACATAGAAGATGGGGCCTCCCTGGTGGTGCAAGGGGTTGAGCACAGCACTATGAAGCATTCCGCAGCTACTGAGGCATGAGTTCAATCCCCAGCCAGCCAGAAAGCTGACCCACATGGCACAGCAGACCTCTCCTGTCTCCCTGCTGCTCCCCTCAGCAGTGTTTCAGTGGATCTGCCTGTTCTGTTCCCCACTCTCTCTGGTGAATCCTCTCACCCCCTGCACCTCTGGTCTGTACCCCAGTTCTTGTATGCATAAATAAATAAATCTTTAGGAAAAAAAAAAAAAAAAAGAAGATGGAGACCTCACAGCACCAAGGAAACCAAGGGAGGAGGGATCCAAAATGTCCTGGAGGACACATGACACCATAACAAGGCCAAGTAAGTCTAATACTGCCTGGCAGCAGCTGATCCACTCTAAATCGACAGCAGAAAGCCAGCAGCCTCTTCAGGAAAACAAAAAGCCAAGCCCCTGGAAGCCCTGCAGAAGGAGGGTGGATAGAGGCCGGGGCCCCCTGCTCTCCTTCACAGGCCACAACACTTCCCAGGGGTCTGAGGGGCCAACTGGATGAGCCTCCAGAAGCATAAATTCAAGATGCTCACACAAAATGCCTTGTGGTACCCTCAGGCCTCCACTCCTTCCTTCCTTCCTTGACGAGGCAAATACACACACCGACTGCACATGCAGGCACACACTCAGCAGAAATACATTCTCTTTGAGCTGAGAGAGACACACAACAGTCTCAAACTGGGAATAACCACATGTCCTCCACAAGTACAAGGGAAATAATTGTGGCACATGCACTAATTAGACCGCTATATGGCCATGGAACGGAACTGCTGCTCCAAGCAACTTGGCAACCCTCTGCAGTCAGATGTTCTGCAGGAATCCAGACAGACAACATGACAGAGCAGAGCAGCCTCCGGGAATCAAAGAGAAGGGTCCAGAGGGAAGCAGTGGCAAATGACGGAGGAAGCCAGTGAGCTCCTAAACTAGAAACGGAACATCCTTTAATTTGAAAAACGTTTTTTGTAAAAATTCACTGAGTTGTGAAATTTGGATTTGACACATTTTGTAAATATTGAAATTCAAACAAGCAAATTTATAAGAGAGAAACTCAAGTCCTTTGAATCAAGTCAGCTGTTCCTTCCTAGGAAAGCATCGAAATAGAGAAAAAAGATGCTCATTGCCAATGTCCACGGCAGTGAAACTGGTGCACACCCTTCCTGTTGTCATTTCAACTAAAAGCAGAAACCCGTGTGTAGTTGGCCCTCTGATTCAACCAACTGTGGGCGGAGAGTGGTTAGGCAGTCAGGCTGATGGTTGTGTCTGTACTGAGCTTGCACAGACCTTATTGTCATTATCCTGAAACAATACAGTGTAACAGCTACTTACCTAATAATCACAGTGTACGGGACAGGTAACCTAGAAAAGTGGGCCTCCCCGGGAGCCTGCGGCCAGAGTCCATGCCAGGCCAGGGAGTCCATCCCCGGCCAGGGACCCCCCCCACCCAGGGCGCAGCAGACCTCTCCTGTCTCCCTGCTGCTCCCCTCAGCAGTGGGTTTCAGTGCATCCCACTGCTCTGCTCCCCACGCTGCCTCTAGTGGATCCTCTCACTCCTGCACATCTGGCCTGCACCCCAGCTCTTGTACACAAAAAAGTAAAGTACACAGAAGCGTGTACACAGTTTCTATGTAAATATTACACCATTTCACATAAGAACTGAATGTCCCTGGATTTTGGCATCCTCGGGGGTTCCTGGAAGCAAGCCCCCACAGACACTGAGGGACAACTGCACAGAAATGGAAACACCTTCGGTGAAAGGCAGGCTGCACAGCAGTGCACAGGGGACCACTGCACTCCCGCTGAGGCACAGCATCATATACAGGCATGGAAAAGACGGGCCCAGAAAAGGAACAGCAGCAGACATGACATTTACATCAGGGTGCACTGTCCTGTAATGCTCTGTCACCATCAGGCAGGCTGACGTAGATGAGGGGGATCAAGTGACTGCCTCTGTCACACTGCTTCCATCTGACCCTGTCACAGCATATGAGCTACCGCAGGCAGGGCTCCATGGGCTCATGCTCACAACACACTCAGACACCCTTCCCTCTTGTCCTCCCCCAACACTGCCCACTCTCACTCTCCTAGAAGACTTGGCTCAAGAGTCACCCCACCAGCCACCCAGGCAGATCTGGACTTCAGCAGAGACCATTCTCAGGGCTCTTGTGCTGGTCCTGATGCATCTTTCTCCAAACTCCTGAGTCAATACCCAGATATGCTGGATCCCAACTGAATGTTTGTTCAGTGTCTGAATTTGGGGTGTGGTCCCCCTCACACACCTGCGCCATCAACTGTCAGCTGTTTTCTCCCCTTGGCATCCTGCGTGTCCAGGACCCACGGCTCGTCCTCTCGCTCCAACTGTGTAATCACCGCAGGCTTGGAGACTGCAGGTCCACCTCCTGCGAAAAGGACAGGGCCTAGAGTTGGTGCCAAGGACCCAGGGCTTCACCGAGTGGTCTCAGCCTGGGGCTGCAGGGAGGGGGGAACATAGCACAATGGGATGACAAGAAGTCTGGACAATCTCTGGAACGCTGGGGCTGGTCATGAAGACAAAGGTCTGACCACAGCGAAGAAGAGAGCAGGGGACTGCTTCCCACCAGGGGCGGACAAATCCCAGGGAGGGGATCTGCTTCCGGCCTGGGGCAGGGAGGCAGCCACACCTGGGGCTCACAGGAGGGCAGCACTAGCCCAGTCACACCGCACGGAACACAGGCCTGCCGGGGCCAGAGCCAGGGACTCCTTTCTCTGGGTCCAGGGGGTGTGGTCCCCAGCCCAGCAACTGCCAAGCCCTCAGTCTCCAGGGACAGTCCTGACCTGTGTCCTGGCACGGGGCTCACCCAGCGAAACCAGGTTTCCGTAGGTCTCCAGCATCACGTCCCTGTAGAGGCCCCGCTGCCCAGGACCCAGGAGCTCCCACTCCTCCCGGGAGAGGAGCACGGCCACGTCTTGGAAGGTCACCTTGGCCTGGAATGACAGGACCCTAATGCAGGCTCGGATGTGGCTCAGGGTGGGCCCTGGGGGCTGGGGTAGCACAAGCGTAGGAGTAACTACAAGCTGATCCCCCAACAGAGTTGAGGGGATGGCATGACACTCTGGCTACTGAGCCAGCTAAAGTGGGGAGGCCTTCAGCATCACCATTCCCCTGCTGCTTGCAGCACCCCAGACCAGAGAAGGTGGGAAGCCCTGAGCGCAGACCACGCACCTCCCAGGGATGACTGACGCTCACCTGGGCCAGGGCAGGCAGATGCAAAGCTGCCATCGCCTGTTGCCCTGGGGTCCCCAGAAGGCAGGCAGGAGCCAGGCAGTCAGATTCTGAGGGAAGAGAGAGGCATGCATCAGGGCCCAGCCTGGACCCTCTGCTGGCACAGCTGGCTCTCCAGGCACTCTGCTCCCTGCCCCAGGCTGCCAGCCCAATTCTATTTCCACGGCATGGACTCCTGCAGGCTCTTCAAGTCATCCCGTTCAGAACAGACATACTCACTTTACATGAAAAAATAAAGACAATGTATTAAAAGTTAAGGAGAAAATGGAAGTTTAAAAAACACAGAAGGGGCCTCCCCGGTGGCGCAGCGGTTGAACGCTGGGTTGTGAAGCTGCCCGCTGCCTCTGCAGCGCCGGTTCGATCCCCGGCTGCTCCCCGGCCACCGGAGGAGGGTCCCGCATGGCGCGCAGACCTCTCCTGCCGCCCGCTGCTCCCCTCAGCAGTGTCCTTCGGTCCTTCTGCCTGCTCTGTTCCCTGCTCTGGCTCTGGTGAATTCTCTCACCCTCCCGCGCTTCTGACTGTACCCAGTGCTTGTATAAATAAATAAAACAAATCTTTAAAAAAAAATAAAAAAATAAAAAACACAGAAGGCATGGGCCTCCCCGGTGGCGCAGTGGGGTAAGTGCAGTGCTGTGAAGCTGTCCGCAGTGCCAGTTTGATTCTCACCCAGCCTGGGGAGATTCTCACATGGTGTAGCAGACCTCTCCTGTCTCACCCGCTGCTCCCCTCATAGTGTATTTCGGCCCACCTGCCTGTTCTGCTCCCCACTCTGTCTCTGGTGGATTCTCTCACCCTCCCGCGCCTCTGGCCTGTACCCCAGTGCTTGGTATAAATAAATCAATCTTAAAAAAAAAAAAAGGCACATAACAAACTATAAAAGGCAAAAAATATAAATCGAGTAGAGACAAGTTCAGTAGATGAGAAATGGTAAGAAATAAAAGGATTAAGCTCACCTAGCAGAAGCAGAAAATCATCCAATTAGATCCACAAACTGTAAGGCTACTGCCATTGAACTGAGGCCTGAAACAGGAGAGAGGACAACGGAGCAGCCCACGCATATCCTGCTGCATCCCTGTGGGTGGAGAAACACTACTCAGGAAGCAAACCTACTTTCCATACAAAAATACTCAAGGAAGGCCTCCCTGGTGACACAAGAGGTTGAGACGCAACCTATGAAACTGTCTGCAGCCACTATAGCACGAGTTCGATCCCCGGCCAGCTAGGGAGCTACACACAAGGTGCAGCAGACCTCTCCTGTCTCCCTGCTGCTCCCCCCAGCAGTGGATTTCAGTGGATCTACCTGTTCTGCTCCCCACTCTGTCTCTGGTGAATCCTCTCACCCCTGAACCTCTAGCCGATACCCCAATTCTTGTATGCATAAATAAATAAATCTTAAAAAAAAATACTAAAGGACAAGCAGCAATGTGAAAAAAGGTATTTGCAAACACAGGTAGCAAAAGATAAAGAATATATTTTTAGATACAAAAGACTATTCAATCAACAAAATGCAGTGTGGTACATTACCAATGTAATGTGGCACATCACAGAAAATCAAACTTTCCACAATAATATCTGAAGAGATTTCTAACGTCATGAAGAAACAGAGAAGTGCAAATTAAAACAAGACTATCCGGGCCTCCCTGGTGGCGCAGCGGTTGAGCGCTGGGTTGCGAAGCTGCCCGCGGCCTCTGCAGCGCCAGTTCGATCCCTGGCTGCTCCCCGGCCACTGCAGGAGGGTCCCACATGGCATGCAGACCTCTCCTGCTGCCCGCTGCTCCCCTCAGCAGTGTACTTCGGTCCTTCTGCCTGCTCTGCTCCCCGCTCTGGCTCTGGTGAAGTCTCTCACCCTCCCGCGCTTCTGACTGTACCAGTGCATGTATAAACAAGCAAACAAACAAACAAATAAATAAATAAAACATGCCTCTATTAAAAAAAAAAAAAAAAAAAAAAAAAACAAGACTATCCTCACTGACTAGAGGAAATATAAAATACTTTCCAATGTCAAATGCTGAGGATCCAGGAAACATGGAAGACCAAGCGCCCCGGCCCTGAGGAGTCCTTGGGACAGGGAACCGGGGCAGTCACTCTGGAAATACATCTGGCACTACCTGGTAGAGCTTGAAAACAGTGTGAAAACTTAATTCTAGGCATGCGTCTAGAATGAAGACACACAATTATGTCATTACATGCCTATGCACAAAAAGAAAGGGAAACAGCCTCAGTATCCACACTGACATTATATGCACCGGAGATGGGCACAATCACAGTTGCTGCAAAGAGCGAACACATCACTGTCAGGGCAACAGGGCACAAAGCTACAGGGCTGGGCATAACTGCCAAGAGCAGAGTATCAGTGACACGAGATGTGGAAATGACACGAGCAGTATTAGGTCTAACAAAAAGTGCTGACAGCAAAGAAAGAAACAACCAACCAGTGAAAGAAACAACACATGCAACGGAGAACATATTTAGAAACAAACACATCCAATATATGCAAAGAGGGCCTCCCTGGGGGCGCGAGAGGCAACCTATGAAGCTGTCCGCAGCTCGATCCCCGGCTGGCCAGGGAGGTGACCCACATGGCGCAGCAGACCTCTCCCCACTCTGTCTCTGGGGAGTCCTTTCACCGCCGCACCTCTGGCCTGCACCCCAGCTCTACGCATAAATAAATCTATTCAAAAACAGGCGATGTATAACCCCACTGGGAGTGCGTCCTAAGAGAAGGAAACCTGAAACTGGGCCCTACGTTCATTACCGCGTTATCTACAATCACTGAAACATGGAGACGTGTTTCCACCTGCAGGTAGGCGGCGAAAGCAGCAGCAGACAGACGGACGGGCATGATCTCGCCACTTGCAGCAACGCGGACGAAGCGAGGGTGAGGGGCGAGCGCTAAGGGAGAGGACGGAGAAACACGCCCGGCCTCGGCGCGTGCTGGGGACCGGCCCGCGCCCCCGGGCGAGCAGCCCCGGGCCGGCGGGCCCTGGAGCCGGGGGCCCTGGAGCGGGGGGCCCTGGAGCGAGGGGCCTTGGAACAGGGGGACCTTAGAGCAGGGGGCGGCGGCCGCGGGTCTCGGCGTCCTCGCCTCAGAGCAAGGGATAAGGAGGGGGCGGGGGACGCGCGCCGGCCCGGCCGGGGCGCCCCCAGTGGACCCGCGCCCGCTGAACCCCGAGGGCGGGGCCCGAACGCGCACGGCGGCGGGACGGGCAGCCCCTGTCACCGGCGTCCGCGGACCCGGCACCGGCGCGCGACTCCGAGGCTGTGTTGGGAAAGGCCTCCGGGGGCGCCAGCCCGTCAGGACGGATGCTCGGTCGCGGGGAGCTTCGTGCCGCCCGCGCCGCGCCCTCTAGGGCCCGGCCGGAAGTGGCGTCGACGCGCGCCGGAAGGCGGCGCTCTGGAAGGCGAGCACGTCGTCTCGGTGGCCGGCCGGGCAGCGCCATCAGGTGGCGAAGTCGCCTGCCGGCCCTTCTGCTTTACAGTCCCACGCACTGAGTGGGGCCCCACACCTGCCGCCCGGGGTGCTCTGGGAGCCGCCCCTCCCAGATGCCATCGGCATGGACAAGGACGCACACCTGACCAGCAGCAGGCAACAGGCAACTTTGCTCGGTGCCCTTTAGTAAGAAAGGCCGCCCTCAAGTCCAACAGGACGGAGAGTCTTGTCCTGCCAAGAGGGGCCCAGTGCTGCTGGGGCCCGCTCGCCAACCAGAAACGTGTGGCCTACCCAGCACTGTTCCATCATCATGAGAGCCACAGGCCCCCAAGTACCCCCAGACTTCTGAGGCTCAGGGAGATGGCCACTTCTCCAGCCCGGGCTCTTCCACAGCACACAAGGGGAACCAACATGGGCTTCAGCCGGCCACTGGGATATGGCCCAAAAGTGCTGATGGGTCTCCACTTCCACCTGCCAAGCCACTCCATGGTGTCTGGTCCAGTCGTCCTAGACAGTGTTGGAACCAGGAGGCTAGTCCTGAGAAACTGTCCCAAGACAATTCTCTGTTCTCCTACCAGCAGCCTTGCCTCCATTCTCCAAGTGCTAAAGCAGGTTAATGAATGTCGGCATGGGGGCGTGACCCTGGTGGGGTGGCTTCTATGCTCCACACACCTGTCAGTGGAGTTCCCAGGAGTCAAGGTGGAAAGCACCCCAACACCCCATCTCTCCAGCGTCTCCACCACTCACTGGTGTACACCAGGAGCTCTGCGGCAGCACGATGAGCAGAGAAAAGGTGCCCTCTGAAGCCACTGGCAAGAACAAAGACCAGTTCAGCGGCAAAGGACAAACTTTATTGAGTCCCCAAGCCCTAGTTCTCTTTCTCCTGCACAGTCTTGGTTCCCCGGAGACGCCCGGTCCGGCGGGCTGCAATAAGACCCACTTTGCGGCCAGCAGGGGCATCTCTGCGAATGGTTGAGGGTTTGCCAATGTGCTGGTGGTTGCCACCTCCAAAAGGATGCTCCACAGGCTGCACACAGAACAGTGGTGTTAATGTGAGATCCCAACCTCTCCTAAAAGTAGCATCAAATTGTCTGGGTCCACAAAACATCCCCCAGAGAACCTACTACAGACGCTCCTACAAAGGTTAAGGGGACCTCCAGGAAGGGAGGGAACCACCCACCCAGCTTCACGCCCCCACAGCCTGAACACCCAGGGCCATTTCTGGGCTACTTACATTCATGGCTACACCCCGCACACGTGGCCAGCAATTCCTCTTTGCCTTATACTTATGATAGGCACGTCCAGCCTTCAAAATTGGCTTGTCAATGCGGCCACCGCCAGCCACCACGCCTATTGGAGAGTCACCAACCTCAGGGAAATGCATCATACCCTCCCCGCCGTTTCAGGGCTCCCCCATCAGAAAGAACACCCCCTTCCGGATCCTTGCCTGTGGACCACACCCCCACCCCATCCCCAAAGCTTTCACAGCCACACTCCCAGGAGCCTCAGTCTCTTGCTAGTGCCTCTAGACTCCACGGGACAGCCCCAGTCAGGCCTTTACCCACCTGTGGATGTCTATTTTGACCCCATGTTCTCTGGAAGAAGATCCCACACCCACCACTCGCCATGGCTGACACTGGGCAGGTTTCTCCATCTCCTACCCACCTGCCTGACAGAACAGCTGACCCAGACCGCCACCTCTCAGCCAAAGCTGGCTATTCTTTGGGCATACCTTCCAAAGTCTCCCTTGCACATGACTTGGTTAAAGATGCCACTAAACAGCAACATAAATAAGTCCCCGGCACACCAACTGAGTGCCAGCCTCACAACCTGGTACGATCAACTCCCCACCCGCAGTGGAGTGGGTGCTACTACCCTGTCAGACATCACAGTCCCTGGGCCAGGGAGGGCCAAGCTGCCACGCACCAACCACAGCTCTGTTGGCGGATGAGATGACCTTCTTGGAGCCAGAGGGCAGCTTCACGCGGGTCTTCTTGGTCTCCGGGTTGTGGGAAATGACAGTAGCGTAGTTGCCCGAGGCACGCGCTAGCTTGCCCCGGTCACCAGGCTTCTCCTCCAGGCAACACACGATGGTACCCTCTGGCATGGTGCCCACTGGGAGCACATTGCCGATGTTGAGCTGGGCTGCGAGGGAGAAGATGGGAGTGGGCCTAACTGCCATTCCCCGGCGACGCCCTGAACTCCCCTAGGCAGCCCCCAAGTGGTCCCCACAAGCCCAGCGAGGGGTTGCCTCTTACCCGCCTCCCGCCGGGCCCCGGTTTACTCCAGCAGGTCTCGCCGACTGAGACTTCTGCCGGCGTGTTCCTCCCCAGGGTTGGGTTAAGCCAAGGCCCAGCCGCCCCTCCCCGCCGTCCCGCCACAGGGCTCACCCTTCTTGCCGCAGTACACGAACTGGCCGGTGTGGATGCCCTCGGCGGCGATGAACAGCTCCGTCCGCTTCTTAAACCGGTACGGGTCCCGGAACACCACCTTGGCGAGGGGCGCGCCGCGGCCCGGGTCGTGGATGATGTCCTGCGGGCCGAGGCGGCGTGAGCGGGCCGAGGCGCGGCGCCCCGCTCCCCCCGCCCGCCTCCCCCCGCGCCGGCCGGCGCCCGCACCTTCACGATGCCCTTGATGTATCCGTGTCGCTCGGCGAAGTCCACGGCGCGGAGGCGCGCGGCGCCCTTGCGGTGCTTCACGTGCGCGCGGAACACGGAGCCGGCGCCCTTCCTCTGCCCACGGATCACGCGGCCCATGGCGGCGGCCTGCGGGCGGGTCTCGGTCAGCGCCCAGGCGGCCCCGGCACCCGCGGCTCCTGGGCCCGCGCCCCGCAGGCTCCTCCCTCCTGGTCCCGGCCCCCGCGCGCCCCATCCCCGCTCGTGCGCCCCGTCTGGAACCCGCGGGGTTCTTAGGGCCCCAGAGCGGAGGATGGCGGCGGATGAAGCCGCGGCCCCGCGCGCACGTCCTACCTGCTGCCGAGCGCGGCGGAAAAGGAGCGCAGGCGCCGGGCCGCCTTGCCTTCCGGGGCGGGCCCGAGGCGGCCGCATCTTCCGGCGGGCGGCGCGCAGTGCCCGTCGGGACTTGTAGTGCGCCCCGCCCCCTCCGCGCCAGAGCCCCTGCGCAGGCGCACTCGGAGTCCAGTAAGGCCCCGCTCTGGGGGCCGCGCTCCTGCCGCGGGGTCGGGAGGAGGGGTCGGGGGTCGGGAAGGAGGTGCGCGGGGACCAGGTGGAGAGGCCGAGGGCGGGGGCGGAGGGGCGGGGGCGGGCCGAAGGGCAGCGAGGCCGCTGTAGTGGGGCGGGGCCGGGGGCCGAGGGGCGGGGCCGAGGGGCGGGGCCGAGGGGCGGGGCCTTCATCCATCCAGTCGGCGCCTTTGTGGGGGCAGAACTGCCCCCCTTCCCTCTGGGAGTGTTGGGGTGTCCCCTGTCTGCTGGTCCTTGCAGAGGCAGCAGTGACCAGCGGGCCGGGACCTTGACACATACGCCACCCCGAAGCGAGCGGTCCCCGAAGGTTCCGACTCACCTTCCGGCCGGGCCGTGGGCGCCGCGCGGGGCGTGAGGCCGGGACCGGGGGCGCCGCGCCGGGACAGCGCTGCCCTGCCGCCGGCCAAGCGGGAGTGGGTCCCGGGGATGCAGGCGTTCCGCGCCCCCCCAAGTACTGCGCGCCCAGGGCCTGCAGCCAGGCAGCCGGGGCCCAGTCCCTGTGCCCCCGCCCCTGCGCTCTCTCCTCTGCACACACCTGTCTCGTCACCCTCTTGGCGCAAGGGGAGGAGCCAGGAGCCTTGATTCTGCAGGGAGGGGTCAGGGAGGAGGGAGGGGTCAGGGAGTGTGCGGCCCGGGCAGGCCGGGCAAGCCCCAAGTCTGGGGGGGGGGGGGGGGCGGGAGGCTGTCCCGTTAGCTCCTCACGGCAGGCTACATGTCCTTCGAGGTGCCCGGACTACCTGTACAGGAGTCACAAGTGCACGAGAGTGTTTGCCCGGGCACCCCAAGGTCTGTGGGACTGGGGTGTGTGTGGGGGACCCCGTGGGGGAGACCCTTGATCTGTTGACTCTCCCCATCCCCAGCAGCCTGCAGGGTAGGGGCTGAATTGGGAGTGCGGGAGCTGCAGAAAGGGGGAAGAAGCAGCCTCCAGTCCATGGGGTCTGCCCAGGCAGGTTCTCTGAGTGCATGGCCTGTGGCCAAAACTCTGAGGGAAAAGGCAGCAAAGATGGGGTGCGCCCCACACTCTGTGGGTCTCATCTTGGCACCCAGCTCATCCCCCTGCCCCAACAGCCCTTCCCAACAAACCACCTCAGCCGACACCCCTTCTCTTCACCTTTATCACCCGAACCCTGGTTATAAAGCTTGGCATGCACCCAGCTCTTATATGCATAAATAAGTAAATCTTTTTTAAAAAGTTTTCAAAACTTCTGCTTCTTTAACAGAAATGTTCTGCCTTCAAGTCACCAATTCCCTTTTGTGAGGATTGAAACTACATCATTTCCCCTTTTCTTGTTTTTTTATTTTCCTAAAAGATT